CCACGTCAGCAGCGACTGCTGCCCCTTGGGTCGCGACGAGTCAACGGGCTTCCGGCCGGTCAGCAGCTCCAGCAGCACCACGCCGAAGCTGAACACGTCGGACCGCGCCGTCTGCTCGCCGCTCACGCGGAACTCGGGCGCCTGGTACCCCATGGACCCCAGCACGGACGGCGACACGGCGCGGCCCTCCGACCAATCGCGCACGAGCGTGTGGATGCCGACGTCTTTAATCTTCGCGCGCAGCTCGCCGTCCAGCACCACGTTGTCGGCCGACACGTCGCGGTGAATCACGAGCGGCTCGCACTGTTCATGTAAAAACTCCAGTGCCGCGGCCACGTCGACCGCGATCTGCACGCGCTTCTGCCACGTCAGCGCGCGCTCGAAGCGCAGGTCCCCGTGCAGGTGGTCCTTGAGGCTGCCACCTGGCAGATACTCATAGGCCACCCACCGCTGGCCCTTATCCGCGCAATACGCCATGATCGCCACGAGGCGGTTCGACTGCACGCACAGGTCCCCCAGCGCCTTGACCGCCGCCGCGAATTCCGCCTCGTCGAGCTTCTCCCCGGAGAGCTCGAGCAGCACCGCCATCTGCACGCGCGCCTTGCTCGAGAAGTCCGCCTTGTACATGCGCCCGTGCCCGCGGTCGCCGATCAAGTTCGCCTTCGAATACCCCTGCGTCGCCGCGTGGATATCCTTGAGACCGATTTTTTTAATCTCCATCACCTCCTGAGGGGTGCCTCCGCCCTCCGCGTCGCCCACCGTCCGCGTCGTCCCGATTTCCGGAGTCCGCGGGTCGTCGCCGTTGTCGCCGCCGCACAATCCGGCGGTGTTCGAGGGGGAGGTGGGCGAGCTCGCGCCTTGGAACGCGAAGCTTCGCTCCGACACTCCGGGCGTGTCGCGCGGCGTTCCCGCGACGCTGTCGCCGCAGCCATTCGCGTGCGCCCCGGCGGGGGTGCCGGGGATGCCGCTGCGGAAGGAGAGCGCGGGCTCGTTAAACGAGTTCCCTCCTGAGATCGACGGCTTGACGGGCGGAAAGGGGCTGCCACGTGGCAAATCCCACCTTCCCCAGATGGCTGGCGGAAGCGGAAAGGAGGATGGCGGGGGCGGGGGGTAGGGAAGGGGGGGAGACGTTGCAATGAGAAAGTGAGCGAGAGGTAGACGCAGGAGCGGGAAAGATGACGTGGCGACAACAGCAGCACAGGTGGCGTGACCTACTGGTTGGATTACTCACGAAGCGCCACACAAATCGTTACACTCACAGTTCTTCCCGTGCGGCCTGTACGGCGCCTCGATGCTACCCGTCAGCACCTTGGCCATCCGCGAGTTCTCCACGTCAGCTCGGCGCGCGGCGTTCCTGTCGCGGCGCCACGTCAGCAGCTGGCAGAAGAGCGCCGCGATAACCAGCGCGGCCGCGAGCGACGCGACAACGATGCCGATGATGGCTCCGGTGCTGAGGCCGGAAGATGCGCCGGAAGACGCGGAAGACGACTCGGCGTCGGCGTTCTGCGACTCTTGCGACGGCTTGAACGCGAGGCCGGGCGCTCCTGAAACGGAAGAAAAGGTGGAATGAGGAACAAGAACAAGAAGAAGATGGCGCTTAGACGCACGGCCACGGAATCAGGAGGAGACGGCACTGCATGGAATACGGGAACATATCAAGCCGTAACTCCCCATAAATTGAATGGCACAAGGGAAAGGGAGAGCGCGTGACCGTACCGAGCACTTCGTAGTCTTTGAAGGCCTTGGATAGAATCACGCGGTGGCCCGTGACGGCGTCCACTATCTTCGCCTCCTGCCGCGCGTCCAGCGCCGACCCGTTCACGGGCAGCACCGCCAGGTACAGGATCACGCTGCCCGGCTCGCGCCCGATCACCATCAGCTGACGTGGCTCCAGCTGCAGCGCGCGGGACAGCTCGCCGAGCAGCACGTCCTCCTGATTCGCGTTATAAGCCGCGAAGTCCAGGTCCTTGAAACGAATCTTGAGCAGCGACGGCTTGGCGCACGTGCACCCGTCCTCGAGCCCGGGCAGATCGTCCCCCGCACACGGCGGACAGTTGGGGAGCGGCGCGGTGATCAGCGGAGGGAGGCTTCCCGCCTCATCCGCGGGGTCCTCCACCGGAGCGGGAGTTGCGGGGAGCGGCTCCGCCGACGCGCCAGCGCACAGCGAGCCGGGAACCGTGCTGCAAAAACGATTTCCAGGACCCAGCTTGAGGTAAGTGACGGCTTTAAGAGCGGCAGGGATGGCGCCGGAGAGATTGTTTCCGAAGAGGTAAAGGTGCGTGCACGTCGCCATGCCGCCCAACTCGGTAGGCAGCTCGCCCGTGAATTTATTGTTCTGTAGCTCGACTTCTTGTACCGAGTACAGCTTGCCGAGCTCGGGAGGGATCTGTCCGGCGATCTGGTTGTTGCACAGCCGCAGCTGCAGCAGCCCCGTGAGGTTGCCGATGAACGGCGACAACGCGCCTGCGATGCCCATGTCGCACAAATCGCTGCGCGTCGCAGGATGAGGATCGGGTGGGGAGGAACATAAGTGCGTGATGATGGGAGTGCGACCGACGTACACTGAGGATGCACGCAAAAGGAGAAGCCTGAAACGAAAACGAAGCGTGCGAATGAAGTTTGAAGCATCGTCGCTGTTCGTTCCTTCGTACTTACAGTCTAGTGATGACGCCGGGCCGCGCGCACGTGACGCCGACCCACGTGCCGTCACAGGGGTCGCTGGTGGTCCACGTGGCGAGCGCAGAGGGCTTGCTCCCCTCGAAGCCGAGCTTCAGCTCCTGCATCGCCTCCAGTTGCCCTGCCATTCCGCGCGCCAGCCACGCAACAGGAATTTTTAAAGGCGAGTCAGATTGAAAGTGCGAATCACGCGGAGAAAGGCGGGCCGGGTGAAAGAGAGGGCGAGGAAAAGTAATATGGAGGAAAAAGAGGGGTTTCGGTGGTGCAAAAGGTGGGGGATTTCTATGTGCAACAACTGGCTTTTCTGGCTTGACTGCTGCAAATCACGTGCTCGAGGGACTAGAGAATAGAGGTCACTGGAGAGCGTGGATGGGTGACGTCCATACCTAGGGACGAGGGGTCTGTGGGATCGATCACGAGTGCCGACGCGGTAAGCGCGAGGGCAAGACCGACGAACGCTCGGATCGTGGACCTCCGAGCCATGCTGCTCAATCTCCGTCGCATGACGGTTGACGAAAAGGAACGACGAAGAGTCTCTGAACGAATCTACTCTGACTTGAAGATTGCAGGGTTTCTTGAAGCTAAGAGAAAACCTGGAACGAGGAAGCGCTGTGCTAGAGGATGCACCGAGGTGGTGCTGTGAGTGAATGGGATGAACTAGCAGAATTGAGTCAATTCCTTGGTTTTCATAAGATGTGCTTCGTAGACGGAAGGGCTCGAACCGGCCCTCGGTACTCGTACTATCGGCTCTTTCTGGTCGAATAAGTGACAGAACGGTATGTTGTTTTGGCGCAAGCATTCGGTCGCGACTCAAGAAGGCAAATTGCTGGATGTTCAAATCGCACGGCGAGATGGAGCCTAGGAACACGGTAGATCGGACGACTCACAATTAAAGAAAGGGGCGAACGAGAGGGTGAACGGTGGAGAAAGCGTTGGCGCGGTACAATCATCCGCGTCTCGGGGTGGCCGCGCTCCATCGTCGCAGCTGGCCGTCGCCTGGAGCATTGCGAATAGCGGTGCGGTCTTGGACCCTTGGGTTTCAATTTAAAAAAGTGTCGCAGAGAGCTGACCGCGCTCTTTTTCAAACTCAAGTTCAAAATGTTTCCCGCCCTGAGGGCTTCTGGCGCAGGCGCTGGGTGCAGGTCTCACAGACTTGAATTCAAGTGTTCAAGCCCAAGACACACACAGGATACACATTGTAGACTGGTTCGTGGATTCAATACTAGGTTTACATTTATAAGACTAGAGTGGTGGTACGTACAAAAGCACACACAATGAAACCCTATCTACAACGAGCCCCAAAAGAGGAAAACAACCAAGTCGAGTATATCTTAGAGACTACGTAAATTAGAAACCAATTAGACAAACCCATATGGTCACTATGCTTGTTCAAACCCATAGGAGAAACCAATTAGTCAAACCCATAGGAGAAACCAATCAGCTACCTTGCTTGATGTTAGTAAGCCATGGCTCTCTTAGGCCCAGCCGATACTGGGCGTTAGCTGAAAGAGGGATGACAGAGTAGAGGAGATAGGGCGGAAAATATATTTGTACGAAGTGAAGCAATGCTGCATATGACGATGGACGTTCTAATCTCTGCAAAAATAGTATAATTATTGAAGAAAAAGGCCACGTACCTTCAGTACCAAGGGACCCTCCCCCTGCCTCGCGCTCTCCCTCGCCCCCTGCCCCTGCCTCTGCCCCTGCCCCTCGCCTGGCCCCTTCCCCTGCCATGCAAGGGGGGCCGCCCCCTCGGCCTCGGCAGTGCCGGGTCCTGCAGGCAGGGGGGAGGGGGGAGAAACGCGGGGGGGAAAGAGGAAGAATGTGGGGGGGAGAGATAAGGGGAGGAAAAGAGTGCAGGGAACAGGGGGGGGGAAAGGTGGGGAGAAACGCAGGGTTGGGGGGTTGGAGTGGGGGAGGCGGGTACGGGAGAATAGAAATATGACAAGGATTTCATGCAATGATCTATTCTGTGTGTCATTGGTGATCCGGTGGTGGGTGCAAGGATGAGATGGACAGTGAGTATGCGTGCAGAGAGAGAGAGGTGTGTGGGCAGCGATGCACGAGGCACACAGAGGGCGAGTGGGGGAAACGAGGAGCGAACGAGCAACTAGGGTGCAGCAGTGGGTGCCAACAGGGATAGCACCAGCAACTAGTTGACTATCACCCATCCCCCACCACCCATCACCCATCACCCATAGCCCATGACCCATAGCCCATCACACACACCCATCGCACACACCCATCGCACACACCCATCGCACACACCCATCGCACACACCCATCGCACACACCCATCGCACACACCCATCGCACATCACCCATCACCCACTCACCCTGACATGCCCCATGGGAGCCGGAACCACCTCCTCCACCTCATCATCCTCCTCCTCCTCCTCCACCTCCTGCGCCCCCTCCCCCACGGCCTGGGCGCGCACCATCACCCACCCCCTTCCGCGCACATCAAACACCATCGATGGCCGCAGCTGCTGCCACGTCAGCTGCTTCTGTGCCATCTCCCCATAGCCTGAGGGGGAAATGGGGAGATGGGGCGAACGAGAGGAACAGGGGGAACGGCGGAACGGAGGCGAGCAAGGAAAATGAGGGGATCAGGACACCAGCAAGTGGCGGACGGCCCACAACGACAATTGAAATGGGTCCTGGGTGGGCGAGAGAGCGGAAGGGAGAGCGGCGGCACTGACCTGGGAACTCGACAGTGGCCATGCTGGCTGCTGGATCGTCTGGCAGCGCTGTTATCACCCCCTCCCACCACCTGCCGTTGGGGGGGGGAGAGCAGGACACAGCATGCAGCATTGGATAACAGGATGGACAGGGGATGAGTGTGGGGATGATAGCAGGGAGGTGGAGGTTAGAGGGAGGAGGAGGGAGGTGGGGAATACAGAGAGGCCACGAGGGACAGCAAAGCGTGGGGGTGAGAGGAAGAGAGTGTGCAGAGGAAGGTGACCTTTACAACTCTGTCAGTGCGACAAGTAGCGGCAGGGAGGGGAGGCGGGAGGAACGGCACGTGACAGCAAGAGGGAGGGGCAGGGCAGCAGCGGGGACACATTCCAGGCCAGAATCGTGTTCTTTATCGACTCAAACCACAACTCACCCTGGCATGCATTGAGCTTGCAGCTCCCACTCACTCCCTCACTCAACCCCCACTCGCCCCCCACTCACACCCCACTCCCCCCCACTCACCCGTCATCCACCCAAGCATCCACGTGGTCGCCCACGCTCCACCCCACCCCTCCCCCTCCCCTGCGCCTCTTCCCCCCGCCCCCCCTGCCCCCCCCCCTGCGCCCCACCGCCCCCGCCCCCGCATAGGGGGGCCTGGCAGGGCGCAGGCAGCGCTGTGGCTCTCCTCCCGGGGGGAGGTGCGGGGGAGGGGGAGGGGGAACGCCAGAGACGAGGTGGGGAGGATGGGGGGAGGCGGAGGAGGAGGGGGCGGGGGGAGGGGGGGCAGTAGAAACCCACTCCTCGAGGTGATAGGTGCCTGTCAAGTTGGGGAGTAGGGGATGAGGGGCGGATGAGCGAGGCATGAGCGAGGCATGAGCGAGGGTAGGCAGTAAGGGAAGCGAGAAAAAGGGATGCTGGGCGAGTGAAAGAAAAATGTGAGGTAGATGGGGAAGTGCGAGAGGAGCAGATACCCTGACGGGAGAAATGGGGGCGGACAGAGGAACAGGGTGAGCAGAGGGCATAGTCATCCTGGCAGAAGAATCAAGGCCAGCTTACTAGCAGCGCCATCATTGCTCACCCGCGTCGTCCAGCAGCTGGTCGTATCGGACGAGCGCCCGCCGTGCATCGAGCTGCAGCACCGTGCCCGTGAACCAGCTGCCCCTCAACCCCTCCTCGTTCGAAGCCACCTGTGCTCACCATGGCCAGGAGGCAGAGGCAAGGAGGCAGAGGCAAGGAGGCAGGGGGGTTAGAGAAGAAGCAAGGTGGTGCACGGACACATATGCGCACAGACGCTATCTGTGCAGCACCGTGCCCGTGCGTGAACCAACTGCCCCTCAACCCCTCCTCGTTCGACGCCACCTGTGCTCACCATGGGCAGCAGCAGACACAGAGCGGCGGCGGGGAGACAAGGAGGCACAGAGACAAGGAGGCAAAGAGAGAAGGAGAGAAGGTCATGGATGCGTGTGCAGGCAGGCGGATGAGAGAACAGCGAACCAGAGTCGCGGGGGAGAGAACAGCGAACCAGAGTCGCGGGGGAGTGGGAAGGCGGTGCACACAGCACCATGTGGCACGGGCGTGCAATGCTTCAGTCCGCTACGGAATCTCTTGCAGGAACCGCCACTCACCCCAGCGTGCATTGCCCTGAAATCGCCATACAAGGCCCCTCCCTCCCAATGACTGCTGCTTACCTCCACAGGAGTGCCCACATGGAACCTGTGTGGCAGCTTCAACCCCCACACCCTCTTCTCCTCCTCCTCCTCTTCCTCCCCCTCCTCTTCATCCTCCACCACCACTACCTCCTCCTCTTCCTCCTCCTCTCCCCCCCTACCCTCCAGGAACCCCACAGCGCGCCGCATTGTGTGTTCTAACTCCTGCCCCTCACTCGCCCTCCCCCTCCCCCTCTTGCCCAGCACACTCCCCCCCATCTCCCCATACCCGCCCACTTCCTCCACCCCTCCATACGCCACAAACTCGTCCCCCTCGTCGTCCTCCTCCGGCTCCTCCTCCTCTTCCTCCATATCATACGCGCCGTAGTAGTAGCTCCTGCCACGCCCCCCGCCCCTGCTGCCCCTCCCCCGGCCCCTCCCCCTCCCCCGTCCCCTCCCCCTGCCCCTCCCCCTGCCCCGCGCCACACTAGCCACGGACGTCAGGGGGAGAGGAGGCTCAGGCGCCCAGGGGGACTCCGCAAACGGGGACCCTGCGCCAGTGGCCTCCTGCCACGTCGCACCTGCACCATACCCTCCATACCCCCCATTTCCGCCATGCACGCCATACCCCCCATGCCCCCCATATCCCCCAAGCGCCCCGTTCGCCCCCGCACCCCCCTGCTTCTCCGCCCAGGCAGCAGCCACCGCCCTCTCTTTGAACACCGCCACCGCCTCTGCTGCCGCCCGCACCGCTGCCGACGCCGCCCGGGCCACCACAGCGGCCGTCATGACCTGGGCGGCAGCCACCCCCGCATGGTCCTTCCTATCCACCAGCTCCTCCAGCTTCCCCGGCCACACCTCCGCCCATGCCACCACTGGCCGCGTGCCCATAGATGCTCCCCCTCCCCCTGCGCCCCCCGCCCGCTCCTCCCCCTCTGCGCCCATCTCCTCCCCATCAGACCCGTACGAGGGGACGATCTCCACCCCCACCAGGTGCCAGCTGCGCCCGCGCCCCCTCCCCCTCCCCCGCCCCCGCCCCCTGCCACGCCCCCTGCCCCTGCCGCGCCCGCGGATGGCAATCCCGGGGGCGTCCCACCCCTCATCGTCCCACACCCATGGCTCCCCGTTCCCCAGCGCTAACTGCCCCATGCCCCCCATGCCCCCCATGCCCATGGCCATGGCATGGGGGTCCATGGGCATGGGCATACCATCCGCGCCCATGTGCATGGGATACTCGCCATACCCGCTCGGCACCATCACTCCGCCCTCCCCACCCATCCCTCCTCCCATCTCCCCCATCCCATACCCCTCAAAGCCCCCGCTCCCCCCATATCCCCCGTAACCCCCGTACCCCCCCTCCCCCCTGCCTCCGCCATACCCATACGCATGCATGCTACCCCTCCTCCCCCTGCGCCCCCTGCCCCTCCCCCTGCCCCGCCCGCGGCCCCTCACACCATCCGGGGACACATACCCGCCGCCGCCCGCTGCCGCCCCACCGCCGTCCAGGAGGAGGGCGGCAGGGGCGGCCTCTCTGCGGCGGCGCCAGGCATCGGCGATCTCGAGCCAGCGGTGGTGGTCGGGCGAGGCCAGTTGAGACGGCACGGTGGCGAACACCAGCGCTCGCAGCTCCTCCTCTAGCGGCTCCTTGCGACTGCAGAGGGGGATGGGGGGAGGGACATGCAGCAGTGGGTGAGGAATGGTGGTGTGGAATGGTGCGGAATGGTGGTGCGGAGGAATGGGGGCAGGGGATGAGGGAAAGGAAGTGGGCGAGCCGAGTTAAGAGGGCACTGTGGCGAACACCAGCCTGTGATGCACGGGGGATAGAGGCTGTGGGTGGATGAGGGGGATGGGGAATGGGGGCAGGGGATGGGGGCACAGCACAGTCCCAGTCCCAGCACCCGGTCACGGCACACCAAAGCACCCAGTTCCAGCACCCAGGCGCGGCACTCACAAGATACGGCCGTAGAAGAGGATGTGCGCCTCGATCTGGTCCAGCCGCATCGGCAGCACCGCCACGTTCCCCACCGCTCACAGCCACCCAACCCTCTCACTAGCAGCACCGTGTACCTTGTACAGTCACACCTTATACAGTCACGGCACTCACAAGATGCGGCCGTAGAAGAGGATGTGAGCTTCGATCTGGTCCAGCAGCATGGGCAGCACCGCCACGTTGCCCACAGCGGGGCACGGTGGGGGCTGCGGCAGCTGCGACTGCACCACCACCCTCTCTGCCGCCTCTATGTGCGCCGCCACCTCCGCCGCTGCCTCTGCTGCTGCTGCTTCCGCTGCTGCTGCCGCTGCCCCCTCGCCCCCAGGTGCTACTCCCCCTTCCCCGCCTGCTGCTGCTCCTGCTTCCGCCTGCCCTGCAACAGGCACTAGCGCGCCACCTTCTCCCCCTTCCCCTCCCGCTTCCATGTGCGCATCAGCATACTCGCCCTCTCCCCCGCCCCCTCCCCCTCCGCCTTCCCCGAGCGCCCCAGGCACTGCTGCCTCCTCCCCATACTGTCCCTCAGAAACTGCCTCCATGCGTTGAGAATACCCCGCCGCCCCCTCTCCCTCTGCCACCGTCCCTTGCGCTTCTGCTGTTGTCGCCATTCCCCCGTCGCCTTGCACGAAGCTCTCTGCACCCATGCCACCCTCGTTCGCTCCTGTGCCCACCTCTCCTTCGCCAACAGCAGCAGCGGTAACCATTTCGCCCACTTCAGCCGGTGCTACAACCTGCCCCTCTGCCGTCTCACCTCCGCCAGTTTCAGCAACAGCCGCCTCCTGGCCAGGGAAAGCCGCATCATACCCAGCTACAGCAGGCCCTTCACCATGTTCGTACCCTGCTACAGCCGCTTCGGCCTGTGCTACAGCCTCGCCCTGCCAGGCCTCACCTGCCTCCTGCTCAGCTACAGCTGGTTGCTGGTGCGCTACAGCAGACTCATCTGGGGTAGGTGCCATCTGCATTTGCTCTGCTGTCTCTGCCTGCTCTGCGCCCACGTGCTCCTGCTGCTGCACACCTTCGTACTGCACTGGTTGCTCGATATAAGCACCCTCCGGATGAGTTCCTTCCGCTGCTTCACCCATTTCCGCGTCAGCTCTCGGCTGCTCGCCCTCCGCCATGCCTCCCTCTTCATAAGCACCCGCCATTGCCTGTTGCATGATATGGCCATCCCCGCCCTCTCCGCCCACCTCTTGGTATTCGCCAATAGTCTCCCGAGCCTGCTCCTCAGTCCCGACCGGCAGACTCTCAGGCTCGGCAACACCCAAACCCGAACCAGGATCGGTTCCTGGTCCGGTCCCTGGTTCGGTTTCAGCTGCTGCACCCTCGGTGATCATAACCGCCGCCGCACCACCCCCACCCCCATTAGCATCCATATTTAGATCAAACCCCTCGCCTTCACCTGCTTCCGCTTCAGGCACCTCTCCTTCAGTCACACCGTGATAAGTCACAGTTTCTTCCACCACTCCTTCCGTCACATCGCCTGCAGTCACACCCGCCATAGTCACAAACGGCTCATTCTCGTCGGGCGCCTGCGGCGCTAGAGTCAGCTCGGTCTCGTGGCGCGCGGCCTCGGCCGCCTCGAGCATGTCGTCGAGAAGGTTCTCCGCGTCTTCCATGCCCTCCGCCGCAGCCTGCGCTGGCGCCGGCTCTCCTTCGGGCAGCGAGCCAGGCGGGAAATGCTGGCTTGGGTCATCCATTACAATTTTTTTTTCTACCCGTTAAAAAGTTTCGACGGTTGCTGGCAGAGGGTAGGCTGCGAAAGAGTGAACGTTGCAAAAAAAAAAAAAAAAAAAAAAAAAACTGTCCACGCTTTTTATAGATGACGATAAGCGATAGGGACTCGCGAGGCTGATATTGAAGAGAGACGCAAGCACCCTTCTAAGTAGGACGTGCGCTAAAACAAGTTAGACAGTGGAACCGATCAGCTCTGGCCAGTATTGCGCTCGAAGCGTTGATATTCCTGACGCACTTCGGATACCTTTAGCCTGCTGAAGGTTCTGCGTAATGAAGCCCGAGTTAGTGTACCTATTGCAACCGCTCAAAGAGTTTAAGAAAATGTACAACTTCGCCCTTCAGCCACGCTAGCTACCGTGTAGTGGCCTATGCCCCCAAGAGCGTCAGTGGGACGCGAAACCCTAGCCTAACATTCTGACTTCGCTGGCTGTTGGTGGAAATAGAAGCCAGGAACCACGCCAACAGCAACTATGCGGCCTCGAGTCGGGTTAGTGGCGCGAAATGTTTGAGGGGCTGGGTTGGCTAAGGGAATAAATCAAGAATTGAGGCCCGAAAGTTGACGGCGCATTCGAGTGCTGTGATCTAAAAGCATTTGTCAAGTAAAATCCAAAGTTTAGCGACTTGCAAACAATTTTCAGGCTGAACAGCGTGAATAAACTGGAGACGCTTTTGTGACTAGTAAAGAATTGAACACTTGCCCTGTCCTCCGGCTCAAGGTTGTTTCAGTCATTGAACATTCGAAAATTGAAATTGACGAGTGGCGGAAACTGTTACGTTGGTACACCTTCCAAAGGCACATTAGCACTGGAGATAACAAATACAAATTCTCTGAGCTCATTGTTTGGCTACATCTGCAATAATGCAAGTATTTCAGTACATCTCTAGTCAGCTTCACAATAGGCAATCACGCATATGGTATGCATACATATGGAACATGGGCTTTTCTAAAAGTCATTCATAAGTTACACAACCCACTGAGAGCAGCTCGTAGGAGAACCCCTTTCGGCAAAGTAAACCTCTTCTCTGTTCATATTATATATCATGAAGCCTCCAACCTGTGAGAACAGAACACGCACTCACCCATGCAGTCACTCATCTCCTCCGGGCATATTCGCAGGCTCAAAGAACGTGGGCCCTCCCTTGCTGCCCGTTCTCGCAAGGCTGTTGCTGCCCGAGCCAATCGTAGGCGTGCCGCCCAGACCACTGTTCTTGAGCTCCCGTGCCGTGATGACATACGCCACGTCGGGGTTGCTGCCGCGTGACAACATCATCTCCAGCAGCAGTGTGCCGCCCAGAATGCGCCGACCAATGGCGGGCATCCTGAGGCCGTCACACACAAACACCTCCAGACCTGAGGTGGCACACACGGGGGTTGAAGGCGGTTCACAGGGCGTTGATTTAGAATCCGGAACCACACACAGCGGTTCCCAGGGTATAGATTGATGAATGAAGAGCCTGGGGCGCTTGGGCTATGCAGGAGCTTGGGAGGGGAGCAGGGCGGAGGAGGTGGAAGGAACAGGGACAAGGTCGAGTAAAATGAAACACATCAGTGTGTGGGAGGGCATCTCACCCTGGTCGGCGAAGTCATCTCGGCCGTCCACACTAATGAACAGATCCGCGACGTGCAGATTCTCCGGCAGCACCTCGGCCTGCCCAAACGCCCGGCCACTGCTGTCGCCCAGCCCCTCGGTGTCGGTGAAGCCAAACAGCAGCCTGGCGGCGCGGTTCAGCGCGCTGATCCCGCCCATGTCATCCACGCCCAGGATCGCATCCCCCGTGCCCTTCAGCATCGCTCTCAGCCGCTCCTGCTCCTCGCGCTCGCGCCGTCTCTCCTGCAGCGCACCGACGATCTGCGCGACAGTTTTGGTCATGGGCTGGATCTCCATGAGCAGCGTCTCCTCGTACCCCTCCTTGCGATTCGCCACCGCAAACATGCCCACCAGCTCCGCACCCGCGAAGAGAGGCACCCCCAGAAAGGTGGACACACGCTGGTGGCCGGGCGGCACGCCCACTGCCCTTGGATCGTTGGGGACGTCGTTGGAAATGACGACGTCGGCTGTGGTGACGACGCGGCCGAACAGCGTGTCCATGTTGGAGAACACCAGCCCGGACGGGGCGTTCTCCGCGTACCACAGCCGCAGCTCGCGCGTCCATGCAAAATTGGTTATGCCGTGCGTCTGGAAGGGGGTGGAAGTGGGATGAGGAGGAAAGGGGAGAACGGGTTAGAATGAAAGGGAACACGTGTAAGGGCAGGAGGCAAGGTGACGACACGGCCGAAGAACACCAGACCAGACGGGGCACTCTCCGCGTACCACAGCTGCAGCTCCCTCGTCCACGCGAAGTTGGTGATGCTGTGCGTCTTGGGGGTGGGTAGACAAGGGGTGGAATGGTGGAGGCGGGGAGGGGGAGGGGGTGTGGGGAGAGGATGAGGGGGCTTTATCCGGGAGGGGGTGGGGTGAGGTGGGGTAGAAACGATTTGTTAGGCGTTTCAGAAGTCGTCTCATCACCGCCAGCAAATTCCGCGTTCAAAGGTGGCAGCTCCTTGCTTCAACCCCCCGCCTCCACCTAATTCTCAGTCACCATTCCCCATTGTAACCTCATTGTTAGCTGCTGTGCGGCGCGCATCCACACCACGCCCCGCTTCACGGTTAAAAGGGCAGCAGCGCTACGAATTTCTGCAAGTCCACGATTCAAGATGTGCCAACGTGCTGCGCTGTGCCTGTCCGCACTCACTAACCCTAAACCAGAAACCGAGATGTGCTACCGTGCTGCTCCTGACCACAATAACACTAACACTCGCACTCACACTCACTAACCCTAGACAGCCTCGTATATCTCTGCCGTGCCTCGTATATCTCTGCCATGCCTCGCATCCTCAGAACATGGCGAGTCGCTGATCCAAGCACGCCTGCATGGAAACTAGCTACTTTGGGTATGTCTTAAGAGTTGATCCCTAGTGAGAGAGCACGTCGGCGTGGGGAGGGACTGCCTTGCTTCTGCAAGCCGGCTACAGTGCCGGCCCCAGTACCCTCGGGCTTCCAGTAGCAGCAGCATTACAGGTGATTGCTACTCGATAGTGCCGCCACTCTTCTGTCCCTTCCTCCTCGCCACAACACAGCAGCCATCCTCCGGCTCTCGCTTGACTATCCCGTTAACTGACAAGCGGCACGTGCCTGCCTCGCGTCACCTTGAAAGAAGGAGTGTTTTGAGACGTCTCAAGACGTCTCAAGACGTCTCAAAACAAGCGGCACGTGCCTGCTTCGCGTCACCTTGACATCACGTCCGTTCGCGCTCCCTGGGTGCGCTCCCTGGGTGCGCTCCCTGGGTGCGCTGGACTTGCCCTCCTCGAGGGAAAAGGTGCCCTCCTCGAGAGAAAAGGTGCCCTTCCCCCGTTCCCCACTCCTCGCTGATACCCTTCATCCTCCCTCCCCCCGCACCTTGAGGTAGTAGGTCCCCTCGGGTTTCTTGAGCGCGCTGGCGACGAATCCGAACTTGGACTTGGTGAGATCCAGCAGCTGCGCCAGCAGGTAGTCGCCCACCTTGCTGCCGTTAGGCGACTGCAATGAGAGGAGGGAAGGGGAGGGGACGGGAAAGGGGGTGTGAGGAAGGAGAGTGGGGTGGGGTAGGAGCTGCGACGGCAGGTGGCCGCCCAGCTTGCTGCCGTTCAGCAACTGCCCTGCCTGTCATCCCTCTTTCCCTGCCCTCAGGCTGCCCCCCGCAACAACCTGCCTTTTCCCCAACGCCTTCCCCACTCCCTCCGCCTCCATGTCCTTTCACCCAACCCCAACTCCCGAGCCTGCCTCCCCTTCGCCTCCCCCGTTCCCACCCTTCCCCTTCGGTGCCTCGTGTGCTTTTCCTGTTCTTCGATCATGAGGTGCATTACGCCCATGCCTGTTTGCTCTAGGCGTGTTTGATTTTTCTGTTCAACTCACAAGACAAACCTAATCCCGCATTCCATACCACTCACCACTCCAAGTCCCCCCCACCCCCTCCAACCCCCTCCCTCCGCGAGCCGCTCTCTCGGTCCATGGGGAAGAGGTCATGACCGTGAGAGCATGCCTTGAATCGAACCCCCCTCCACGTTTTCTCCCCCTTCCCCGCCTGCCCACACACCCCAGAGGTCGTGCGCCGTGGTGATGATGGTCAGCAGCTTGCCCCCCCACCCCTCCCTCCACGCCCCCTCCCCCTGTGCGCGTGTCCCCGTCCCTCCACGCCCCCTCCCCCTGTGCGCGTGTCCCCGTCCCTCCACGCGCCCTTCCCTCGCGGCGCTCACCTGGTCTTTGGAGAGGAGGTCGTGCGCCTTGGTGATGATTGTGGGCAGCTTGCCCTACAACCCCCTATTTCCACGCCGGATCCCCCTTTCCGCGCGCCCTCCCTGCCCCCATAGGCGCTCACCTGGTCTTTGGAGAAGAGGTCGTGCGCCTTGGTGATGATGGTCAGCAGTTTGCGGTTGAGGATCTCCGACGGGCTCACGCCCATGCGCCCCACGCCCGACATCCCCGCATTCGAAAACCCCGCGTTCGAGAATCCCCCCATCGAGAACCCCGCGTTTGAAAACCCGCTGCTTCCGCCCGCGCTCACTCCCGCCGCCGCCACCATGGCGGAAGCGGAAACTCCGCCGAATCTATCCATCCCTACGCCTCCGCCGAACCCGCCGCCCATGCCGCCGCCCCCGCCGCCGCCGCCGATCATCGACTCGACGCAGCTGTAAGCGGTGGGAGCCATGGCGGAAGCTTGCTGGATGCTTCGCGCCCCGAACGACGACCCCCCGAAGGCCCCCGCGTTGCTGCCCATCGCCGCGAGGTGCGGGCACGCCATGGGTCCGAGCTCCGAGTGCGCTCCGTGCATGCCGTGCGCGTCCGCGTGGCAGTTCAGCCCGCAACCCGCGCCGTGATTTCCGGCGGCGCCGAACACGTCGCGCGGCTGGATGTGGCCGAGCGGGCCGCTGGACGGCAGATCCGCGTCGAGCTCGCGCGCGCGCGGAAGGTTCAGCGAGCGCCGCCGGGACGACGTCGACGCGCTGTCGCTGGACGTCAGTCCGTACGGCGAGCCGGTCGAGCTGGCGGCCGCGCCGCCCACGCCGCCGCCGATGCCGATACCCTCGCGCGACGACTGCGAGCGCAGCGCCGAGAGCGGCCCGAGCACGTCTTCGTTCGCGCCGCCGCCGGGCGGGCCGTTGCTGCGCGCCTTGAGCTGCGCGAAGAGGCGCTGCGTGGCGGGCAGCGAGACGGCGGGGGGCGCGGACGGTGAAGTCTCCCCGCAGTTCTCGCACCTGGAGGGACGCGCGCGCATGGGCGCGGATGGGGGAGCGGATGGGGGCGTGTATGGCGGAACGGAACGAAATGACGGGGTGGAGAGGGACGGAGGGGCTTTGTCTAGTTAAGACGTGACTTTTGAGTCGACTCAAAAGTCAGATGGGACGCTCTGTCTAGTTATCTGCCTCATGACGAACCGCGCAAGGGATGGGTGAACTTGGGCTTCCAGGTTCGCGCTTGCTGCTGCCACACCGCAGGCATTATGAATCGCGAATGACTCTGGGAGCGGGCACTAAGTTTCGCGGCTTTTTGTCGCCCTCACCTGCTGGAAGCCGACTCGAGCGCGTTAACTATCTCTAGCCAGTCGGACTTGGCCAGCTTCACCGTCACCATTTCCGCGCCGCCCACGCCGTTCGCGCCGGGCGGCCGGTCGTCGTCCGCGCTGTCGAGCGACGTGCGGGACGTGCTGTGCTTCAGACCGCGCTGCTGCTGCATGTGTTGCGGCGACGCGCTGTGCATAGCGTGGTGCGGCGACTTCTGGTGGTGCGGCGACGCTTGGTGGTGCGGCGACGCTTGGTGGTGAGGCGACGCCTGGTGGTGCTGCTGCGGCGCTTGGTGCGGCGACGTGTACCCGCGATCTGGTAAGCTCGAGCGGCGGCCGAGTGGGGGCGGGTGGTTGGCCCATGGCGGCGCGCACGGTTGGTCGTCGTGGCGCTGGTCGCCGGGCGACCGCTGGCCGGCGTGCGACGTCGAGAACATGCGCTGCCATCGCTTCGCTAGCGTCGGCGCCATGTGTGCGCTATATCATGCGATGGGGACGGGATTGGTAGCCCTAAATATCGTGGCTGTGCCGGCGGCGGGGTATAGACTCCTGGATAATGCGCGTTAGGACGGCACGAGCATATTCAGGTAACGCGCGGGACTCCTGGATAATGCGCGTAGAGCCAGGCTCGACACAAACCCTTTTCTTCTAAACGTCAGCGACGTGTTCGGTCAGAAACACGAGTGACGGATGAAGCACACAGAACTGTGCTAGCGTTCAGTTGAGATTGAGATCTATCCGTCTTGAGTCTGAGAAGCCCAACTCCCTGAAGGGGTACGCTTTTCTTCGCTTCTGTCGCGCTATGCTCTTTCACTCCACCAACAAACAGCCCCTCAACTCAACGCACTGAACGTGCGATCCCATTCCTTGGTGCTCCTTTCCTCGCCTTCACTCGTCTCGACTCCTTGCTTGCTCGCCGTTCTCGCAGCCTCGCTTCCCTCTCCCTCACACCTTTCCCCAGTGCCCCACATGATGACGGGTAACGTGCTGCCACCAGGAGATTCATTCGGCTTGTCGTTTCGCCAACTTACGAGCTCTGTCCATCCACGCGACTCGAGAATTGCTGCCCAAAAGGTCCCTTCGGTCAGTCACACCAGGCGTGGGCTGACGTGTAAGACTGACAACGACAAGGATGACAAGACGTAGGGTCAGAAGTTGCTGTTCGGGCAGCTTTCCTACCACCCATTGGCTGTGAGATTCTGTGTGTGTGTATCCGCCTGAAAATGGGGATGGGGTGGGGTGTCAGCCATCAATTGTCCCTTCTATTCATGCTTAAAATCCTGGGCACTAAGGCATGTAACAAGTTGTTCACGATCATGAAGCTCGGACGATCAAATGGGTTCTGCATGTTTCTATAAGATTCAATAGGACGCAATGTGGTTCCAGTTGGTGAAACTGCAATCAATATTATGTACCATCATCCCCTTTTGGGTTGAGTATGCAAGGAAACCACCTGAATTGAATGTAGTTTCACCAACCCTGTTCCTGCAAGTCAGATGCTTGCTCTGGGCAGAAAATCAATGCCCGTGCAAAGTTATGGCCAAGAAGGCTTGACGGACATATATCTGGCTTGCACCAATGGCCAGCGTTTATCGACTGTTGAGTCATAATGGAGCAGGGAAACCAGAGAACTATTGCTGCATGTACACCCTGAAAATAAAGGATCGACTGAACCGAAACTGGTATCAAAATGTGTGAAGCTCCGCCGTATTTGAGACAGCCACGCCACACAAGCTCCCTAAATACAGTTCACAGCTCAAGAGGACTTGCTGCTAGTCCTTTACAAAAAATAACGAGTCTCTCCAGAACCACCTCATCAGGCAAGAAGAATCGTTAAGTTCTTGGAGAACACGGGAGGGACACCATCGGGGATTTTGTTCAGCCTGGAATCGCGTTCAGACAGCAAATGCAGCGCATTAATACTGTACTCTATTACAGCCTGCGCAACACTAGCCATGATTTTGCAGACACACAAAAGTGTATTCGCTTGGGAAGGGAAAGCAGTGTTTGGAACAATACATCTGAATTGCAATGTGGCTTCATATTTCTGAATTACATCATCCATTTTCCATCTGCACAGATTGCAGCAGCACATCTGCCAACCTCTGAGCTTCCATCATAGCACCAACCACAGCCTGCCTCTCACACAGCACGGGTAGCACCGGCACCACCCATCTCAACCTCCTTTTAATCACATCCGCTATAACCTGCATGCTCCTATCATCCACCGACCCATCCTCCAGCTCCTCCCTCTCCCTCTCACTCGCATTCGCCGATAACCCCCTATCACCCCAGTAGTGATTCACACGAATGAGCCCAGGATCAGCCACTATGGTCTCTCCAGAGTGCATGAGAGCGCGGTGGGGCGCGTGGGAGAGGAACCCGAGGGCAGCTGCGGGCTGCAGCAGCATCTTGCCTCGCAGGCGGTCATGGTGGTCGGGCGGGCGGTGCGGGCGGTGGATGAATCGCTCTATAGTGAGGCGTGCAGGGGGAGGGCGTGGGTAGCCTATGAAGAACTGGTTGTATAGCAGGAGCTGGAGAGCAAGGAAGGAAGAGGGGGGAATGGGGGATGCGTTGGGGAACGCAGGAGGAGGGGGAGGCAGATGGTAACGGGTTTTGAGAGATCTCAACTCAGCTCAGCTGCAGAAGAGTCGGAAGAGTGTCAAGGCAGCAGACAGACAGACAATGGGTTGAGCAAGCAGACATAGTCTGCCAGCACGCAGCATAGTCTGCCAGCACGCAGACATAGTCTGCCAGCACGCAGACTCGAGCGGTGCAATAAGTGCGCAACAGCACCGTCTCACCTGCGTTGCCTCCTGCTGGTCATCCTGTTGTGCCTCGCCCTCCTCTCTCCTCCCTCTTCCTGCCCTGCCAGCAGCACCAGGAGCGGAGTGTTGGGCGGCGCATGGGCGGCGCAGCAGGAGGCGTGTGAGGAAGCCCGGGCGGGTGTCGGGCAGCATGAAGATGTACTCGTCCACGTCAGCAAAGGCCACCCACTTGGACTCATGGCCGTGGTGCTGGGAGTGGGGGAGGGTAGCAGTGGAGGGCAGGCCGGTGAGTGAGAGGACAAGACAGCGTAGTGGGCTGAGTGGCTACGGAAAGCAAGAGCACCTCACGTGGAGCACGTTAGAGAGCGAAAAATCTTGCTTCCTTCCACCGTCTCCCTACCCCCCTATTTAGTCACTCCCCTCCCCACCTTCCCCCTTCCCCCGCCCTCCTCACCTGCAGGAGAAATCATCTCACCTGCAGGAAGTGGGAGAGCGAGGAGTCCTGGTCAAAGTGGTAATCAGCGCCAGCAGGGGGAGGCGTTATCTGGTGCAGGCGGTGGTACGTCAGCAGCCCTGCGTGGGTGTACACCGAGAGGACGGCCTCCTGGCTCTCCGCCTCCCTGGCAGCACAGTCGTACCAATAGATGTGCTCCGTGCCTGCGTAGCGCATGTACTCTATCCACTGGTGGGAGGGGAGAGAGGAGCAAGAGGGGGAGCAGGGACGGGAGAGGGGAGCAAGCATATCGGGCCACATGGAGCAAAAGGCACGGTCGTACCAGATGATGTGCTCCGTGCCCGCATACCGCATGTGCTCCATCCATCCACTGCATGAGAGGGGAGCGAGGGGAGGGTGGGAAGGGTGGGCGCGGGTGGGCAAAAGTGGGCTCCAGTGGCTTGAGCGGTGAGAGTTGTTAGGATGTAATGCCCTCTCTACCACACAGCACCAGCAGCAGCAGTGCCAGCACACCAACAGCACAGCTTCAGAAGGTGAAGTTCCCTTGGGATGGGAGGTGAAAGGCACAGGTGGGAGGGCGCACACCTGGAAGATGGCGAAAACTGCAGCCTGACACCGCTCTGAACCGCTGCCAGCAGAGGCAGCAGCAGCGCGGTTGAAGGCCATGGCTGAGAGGAAGTACTTCCACTGCCGTCCCTCGCCCTCCCTGCCTCTCCCATCCCCGTCCTTGCCTCCCCTGCCCATCAAGACCTTCCCTGCACTCGTCCTGCTGTTCCACGTGACGCCCCACCACCCACTCCCCCTGCTTGCTGCTGACCCCTTCCTGCCATGCACCGCCGGAATGCCTTCACTGCCTTGACTCGCTTGACTTTTCTGACTGCCCGGCCTGCTCTGCCCCAGCCCCACCGCCAACCTCCCCTCCACCCCAAGGTCAATCGCCCCTCTTGCTCCGCCTCCCCTTACTCCTCCTCCCCTCCCCCTTCCCTCTCCCCCCTGTGCCGCCCATTCTTCTGCCAGCTTGCCCAGCCAATAGCTGTGCGTGGAGGGAGATCTGCTGCGGCCAATGGGAGGCAGCCATGTGGGCAGGAGGTGGGAGAGCCAGGGAGGGAGCCACGTGGAGGAGGAGGACTGGTGCAGGGCGATGAGCACCCGAGCCAGCCTGGCACGGCCGGCCGCATCGTACAGGTCAACGTCGTCAACTCGGTCAATGGGGTCAGTGCTGTTAACGGGGTCAACGGGGTCAACGGGGTTAAGCTTGCTGCCTTGTGTAGCTGTTCTGCTGCTGCTGCTGCTGCTGCTGCTGGTATGTGTGGTGTCAATGGGCAGTGCGGGTGGGAGCAGTGCAGTCGCAGTGGAGCAGTGGGTGCGGCGGAAGGAGCGCGGGAGGGAGAGGATGGTGAGAGAGGTGGAGGATGGATGGGCGGACTGAGAGGCATTGGGGGCATGAGGGGCTTGGGAGGGGGAGTGGGAGCAGGCGAGGGCGATGGCAAGGCCCTCGATGCTGCGCGCCATGGCTGCATGCACTCGCGCGTCACGGTCCCTCTGCTGCGGTATGGCACAGGTGCCAGCTGGGGCAGGTGGGTCTGCATGCATGCAGGGAGAGGGGAGGGGGGGTTGGTGAAGGAGGAGGAGAAGGGGGGGAGGGATGGGAAGAAGGGAGAGGAGGGATGAGAGTGAGGATGGCAGGTGTGGCTAGAGCAGTGGGACTGATGATGACATGTCACCCAACGGTGCCCAGTACATGTGATGGCATGGGACAGCATGGCAAGGCATGGCATGTGATGGCAGGGCAAGCATGGCAGGGAGCAGCATGGGGCGACCTTGAGGAGGCGGTGGTTGGTAGGGCTGCACGAGGTGCTGTATGAACGAGTCCCTTGACCTGCATGGCGTGGCGTGGCAAGCACATGGGGTGAGAATGGCTGGCCATGAGATGAGATGGCTGTTGAAAGTATGCTGTGCCGTGCTGCTCACAGACGTGCCAACTGTCCCCACTGCCTCGCCTCACTCCCATTGCACGCATTGGCCCCCCGCATTGGCCCCCCGCATTGGCCCCCCGCATTGGCCCCCCGCATTGGCCCCCCGCATTGGCCCCCCGTCCCCATTCCCCCCCCGTCCCCATCCCCCCCCCGTCCCCATTCCCCCCCCGTCCCCATCCCCCCCCCCGTCCCCATTCCCCCCCCGTCCCCATCCCCCCCCCGTCCCCATCCCCCCCCCGTCCCCATTCCCCCCCCGTCCCCATCCCCCCCCCGTCCCCATCCCCCCCCCGTCCCCATCCCCGACCAATTTTCCGCTTCACCCCTGCCCCTTCCCCACCCTCCCCTCGTCCTCACTCCATCATTTCGGGGAACACTGCCCTCAGCGCGTCCGCGATTTCCGCCGCCCATTGCGCCAGCTCCGTGACATTCCGCAGCACTGCCATCTCCTGCGACTGCTGCTGCGACTGATCGCCATCGCCCTGCGACTGATTGCCGTCGCCCTGCGACTCCACAGCGGCCTCGCGGTCACCCAAATCCCCAGGGCTGCTAACGTCCCCCGCCAAGCCGCCCGCACCAGCAGCGCGAAGATACGGCGCGGCGGGGATGTGGAGGCGCGCGAGGAGCGCCGCCTGCGAGAGCAGCAGCGCGACGGCCGCGCCGAGCAGGAAGGGGCGCGCGGAGAAGAGCGGGGGAACGGATGGGGGGATGGAGCTGGCAGGGCGGGGGGACTGCGCGCGTGGCGGCATGGCGGCGGCGGATCAACGCGCGCCCGGGACGACGATAGCGACTTGCGGAAAGAGCATGGCGGCTCGAGCTGCGACGGACGGACGACCAAATGAGAGCCGCACAATCACGGCGATGCGATCGTAATCGCAGCTAGGGTACGCGAAAGCGAGTCACTACCTAGTAGCTCAGAAAATGCGATCAGTGATCTACAGGTCACGAATCCGATCAGTGAGAAGCCTCGATTCGACTCGACTCAAATTCACATCCATTCGAGTTCGCCTGAATGAGAATTTGTACTTTTGGGTCCCCACGACGCTGCCGCTGCCGTCCGACTGCTACCTAATCCGTGTCTGACCTGTTGCACTTTTGCCGCGAAATCTACTTATGTGAACGAGCATTCCACTGTTTCTATGTGTGCCACGTGTCAGCTAACGAGCACGCGATGACACGCCCTCATGACATCGGCCCTGCGTGCTAACAGTCATGAGAACATGGAACCCCGCCAGGGCTTCCGCAGCCGGGATTTCCGCCGCAAGAGCCGCCGCATTGCTCGGCGTGCTCTTGCTCCTCTCCTCCGCGCATCCGGCGCAGTCGGAGCGTCTCCTTGGGTCGCTGCTGCGATTCGGGCGCGAGTTCGCCGCGACGCGTCTCCGATGGCGTACTAATAAAGACACGCCTATTCCCTCGCTCGCGCAGCTTTCACCAGAACCCGATCCGCGCATCGATAACTACGACTTCGAAGCAGATGCGATCGACGGCGCCAGTCTCAACCTGCCACGTGGCCCGCCGGAGCTGTCGGACCCGGAGCTGCGGGTGAGGTTCGGCACCGTCGCCCGACGCAAGGAGTCGTGGCTCGGCAGGGCGATGGACATGGACGAGGCGTGGGCGGCGTGGGACAAGACCGTCGGCTGCGCCGCCTTCCGAAGCAAGCACGCAGGTTCGGCGTCCATAAACCCGCGCCTTTTGTCCAGCTTCGGGGGGATTCCCGTTGCTGCACACTGATTTCGCACGTTCCGACGTATCTCGTGAATCATCTCATGCAGAGCAGCCAATATCTCGTGATGGGCACTAAGTTACCATTCACGCAGCCACCAAGGTACCATGACCCACACTACCACATTACGTGTGCTCGTGGCTCCGTGCTCCCCGCTTTGCTTCCACCTCAGATCTCATCGCCCAGTACCTGAACGACACGTGGCCCAAGAGCAGCAGCTTCCAGGATGCTTCCTCCCTGCCGTGCTCTGCTCTCAAGCTGCCCCATGTCTCCATCCAGGTAGGTACCTCATGTTACCGATCAGGACCGAGACAACTTGACCACAGTACATGGCAATAGTCCTGCGGTCAGGCTGTGTGCCCGTGTTGAATCTCAAGCATCAAACACTCCACATTCATGCATGCTGTGCTTTGCCCTCTCCATCCATCTTCCCGCCGCACTGTGCATTCATGTGGGTCCCAGAATTTACTCATCCACATTCCCAATCCTCCCCATCCCACAACAGTTCACATCCTACCACATCTTCCTGGTCCTCTCCCCCCCTCTCACCTCCAACCATTCCTGCCCCTTTCCAGGTGGTTTCCTCCCCGTCCATCCCTGATTGGCTAGACGGTCTCTACAGCTGCCCCTGCCATCTCTCCTGCTCCTTCTCCCGCTCCCCGACCCTCTCCCCCTCCCCGCACGCTCTGCTTTTCGAGGGTGAATTACCCCGAGATATTCCGAACCACCCAAGCAGCATGGAGCGAGGCAGGCCCTTATTGGTGCAAATGGATATGGAAGGGCATGGGGGCGGGGAGGAGCGGGCAAGGACTGCTGATGGGGGTGGGGGTAGCGGCAGCAATGGCAGCAGCAGCAGCAGAAGTGGTGGCAGTGGTGACAGGGGCAGCAGGGTTGCGGCGGACATAAGAGTGGGGTATGGCGCGGATGCAGACGTGCAGGTGACATATGCGGGGCAGCTGGAGCATGCTGACCGCAACCGCCATGTGTCTGGCGTCAAGAGGAAGGTGCGCCTGGGGGCATGGCATGGGCTGGAATGCGATGGGTTGCATGTGATAGGGGCATGGCATGGCATGCGGGCACGGCATGGGGGAATGGTGTGGGATGGCATGGCATCATGATCTGTTGAGAGTTTCACATCTTTCTTCATTCCATCATCCCATCCCCCGCCCATCCTTGCCTACCCCAGTCACCGCCTCTCATCCACGCAGCATCGCGGCCGTCCAGCTGGCGCGAGCGCATTGGAGCGCTGATGCGGCGCATGGCGCACAGCATGGGCAGCCGCAGCAACAACATGAAAGAGGAGGAGGCGGACGTGCTGGACACGTACAGCATGTGCACGTACGTGCTCTATGCCCTCAGCTTGTGCCTGTATGCACTGTGATAAGAGGGCTGTGTTGTGTGTGACATGCATGCATGCAGCACACAGCACTGGCAGTTGCAGCAGCAACAACATGAGGGAGGAGGAGGCGGACGTGCTGGACACGTACAGCATGTGCCAGTATGTGCTCTGATGAGAGGCCTGTGTTGCGCATACACGTATGGCCTCCATGCACTGAGCACGTGCCTGTATGCCCCGTGATCAGAGGCTTGAGCCGGTGTGTGCTTGAGCCGTGCGGCATGCGCAAGTGCATGATCTGATAAGTGGCCTGTGCGTGTGTGGCATGCAGCGCACATGCCATGGTGTTTGTCCCTTGTGAGTAGCCTTCACCCTGACCTTTGACGCAAGTGCCTTCACCATGTTCAATCCCTCTCTCTGCCTCCTGCACTTGCCATCCCGCTCTTGCCATCCTGCACTCGCATGGGATGCAGCTATGCGGGGCCGCACGGTCAGAGAGTGGGGTCGCATGAACAAGGGAAGGGGGCAAAGAATGAAAGCAAAGGTGGCGAGGTGAAGCGCATGGGTGGGTCTGCAGCGACAGTAGCAGCAGCAGCACAGCGAGGCATGGGAAAGGGAGCAGCAGGAGGCGGAGGGGTAGGAGGCGAGGGAGGAGGAGGAAGGGGAGGAGGCGGAGGAGGAGGAGGAAGAGGAGGAGGAGGAGGAGGAGGAGGAGGAGGAGGAGGAGGAGGAGGAGGTGGTGGTGGTGGTGGTGATGGTGGTGGTGGTGGTGGTGGTGGTGGTGGTGGTGGTGGTGGTGGTGGTGGTGGTGGTGGTGGTGGTGGTGGTGGTGGTGGTGGTGGTGGTGGTGGTGGTGGTGGTGGTGGTGGTGGTGGTGGTGGTGGTGGTGGTGGTGGTGGTGGTGGTGGTGGTGGTGGTGGTGGTGGTGGTGGTGACAATGGTGGTGACAATGGTGGTGACGAGGCAGCAGAGGAGGCTCGGCAGGAAGCAGAGACTGCAAGGAGGCCCATGAGAGGCATTCGCACGGGAGGGGGGGGCGTGTGGGGGAGGAGTGAGGAGAGCTGGGAGGAGGAGGAGGATGCAGGGGTGGGGATGCGGGGCGGGGGACACAAGGACTGGTGGGACCACCTGCACTGCGTACAGTCACACTACCTGTTCAACCTCGTTATAGAGTCACGCGAGGAGCGCGGCTTCGTAACTGAAAAGTTCTTCCACGCGTTGGAAGCAGGTGTGTTGGGGCTAATGTGAACCTGTTGGGGGTCCACATATGCATATGCACGTGCACACGTTCACGCACACGCACACGCTCATGCACATTCACACATCTCCCCATGCCCACCCCCGCCCCACTGCAGGCACAGTGCCGGTGTACTACGGGGCGCCAGACATCGACAGCTTCGCCCCTCCCGGACTCGTTCCTGAACGACATGCGGCACATACACATGCACACACTCTTGCACATGCACACACATGCGCGCGCACACACACACACACACACACGTCTCCCCTCCCCTTACCCACACACTCCCTCGCTGCAGGCACAGTGCCGGTGTACTATGGGGCGCCGGACATAGACAGCTTTGCCCCCCCCGACTCGTTCCTGAACGCCGATTCAATGCATCGGGACGAGCTGCGGCGCACCATAGTGGCGGCTGCTGAGGACCCCGTGAAATATGCCAACTTCCATGCCTGGCGCAGGTACCGCGAGGAATTGGACATACGTACCGTATCCGATCCTTTTCATACATGTCATCCAGCCGTCTTGAAGCTCTGTTTATTTGCATCTTTAGACCTAACAATAGCTTTTTTCTCTGCTTCTACTTTTTCTTTCCATGCAGGTGTGGGGTGTTGGGACACTACCAACGTGTGCTTAGACTCAGCATTGACTCCTTTCCTTGCAGATTGTGTGCGCATATAAGCAGTAGAAGTAGCAAAATCTCCACCTAACAAAATGAAATCATTTCAGTTGTGCTAACAGCGAGGACGTCAGCCCATCGCCTCAAGATCCTCTCTAATCCCACTCCAAAACACCACCACCAGCTACGGTATTCCTTGTGACTCCGCCATTTCACTTTCCATATCAGTAGTCACTGCAGTTCAAACCTAGCTCACTTCCATCTTTTACCAGCCTGTGCTAGTTGTTAGTTAGCTTAGCATTCTCAACGAGCTTACATTATTCAAAGCGTCATTTTTGCGCGCTTAGTGAACTCACCGTGCTGAACTCGTCGGCCGTCGATCCCGCCGCCGACTCCGCTTATCCGCCCGACATGCGCGACTCTTCTCGAGCAACGCACGCGCACGCGCACGTGTACACATCCCCACTCGAAACCCTAGATTCCTCCATAGCCATCCTCGGCGGGTGGCATGGGCAACCCGCGCAGCACTCCGCTTCCCCCTCCGCCTCCTCGCTCCCGCGCTCGTCCTCCGCGGGCGGCGCGGGGACCGCCATATGGGACGCGTCGGTCGTTGACGTGCGCGCGTATCTCGAGGCGGTCGAGCGCTTATTCGACCTAATCGACGCCGCGAACATGCCCGGCGCGCCGCCCGGGATGGGCGGCGTGCGCGAGACGGCTAAAGCAATGCTGAACAACGTCGTGCCGCGGCTTGAGGAGGGCTTTCTGCACGTGCTGCTCGCGGAGAGCCACCCCGTGCCGCCCGATCGGGTACGTCTCTGCCTTGCTGTGTTTTTTTTTAAGACCGAATTGAAAGTCGAGTGCGTCTCTCACTTGTGACGCCCGGACGCCGCATTGGTCGAAACTGAGGTTCTTCGCTCCTGTCAGATTTTCATTTTATTGCATCCATTTCCCGATTCTTAGCACCGCCTTCTCGTTGCACCTCACTGTTTCCCTTCCCGCCGTCCGCGCGTCCCCCCCCCCCCACCCCCCCCAGGTCAACGAAGCCGCCAAGCGCGTATCCAAGCCCCCGCGCTCCTCCGCGCCGCTCTCCCCCTCCGCAGCCGCCACTCCTGTCGCCTCCTCTTCCCCCTCCTCCTCCCCCTCGTCCGCGTCCCTCGCGGTCTCCGCGCTCGACCGCGCGCCCTCCTTCCTCCCCGAGCCCGCCGTGTGGCGCCTCCACGCCATTGCGCGCGTGGCTGCACGCGCGGGGCTCTCCCCCTCTCTCCGGCGGAACTACCGCACCGTGCGCAAGGTAGGGGGAGTCGGAATGAGCAAAGCGGACGTGAGGCGGAATGAGCAAAGCGAGCGAGGCAGGTTCGGCAGAGTGTAGCAGAGTGGGAGCAGTGAGGGAAGAGTGGGAGCAGTGAGGGAAGAGTGGGAGCAGGTCCTGAGTTGTAAGACGTCGCTGGAACTGGAGGAGCGGAAGGCGAGCACCATTGGAGCTGTTTCTTCAGCATCAGGGCTTGACTCAAATCACTAGTTTCCCTGACCTCTTTCTTCGCCCGTCCCTCTCCTACCCCTTCATCCCTCACTCTCCCCCTTCTCTTTCCTCCTCCGTCTCTCTCCTCCTGTCCCTCCCCCCCCCCCACAGGCCATGTTAGAGGAATCCCTGAAGCAGCTAGCAGCTGGCTGGTTCAACCCGCGGCTGGTACCAACACTGGAGTGGGATGAGCTGGCAACGCGCGTGGACCTGTGGAAAGCGTATGGACGGCATGCAGCTATCTGTTTACCCTCTGTCAACCCATGAGCTCCTCGCCTCCTTACCCTCCCTCGCTCCCTCCCTCCCCCCCTCCCTCGTTCCCCCTCACCCTCTCTCCATCGCTCCCACCCACAGGCGGTGTTAGAGGAATCTCTGAAGCAGCTAGCAGCAGGGAGGTTCGACCCACGGCTGGTGCCGACACTGGAGTGGGATGAGCTGGCAGCGCGGGTGGACCTGTGGAAGGCGTACGCGCGGAGGGGCGTGCGCGTGCTGCTCGCCGCTGAGAGGAAGCTCTGTGAACGGGTCTTCGACACGGTGGAGGTGGGTTGGATGCGTTTGCATGTTTGTTTGCGCTTGCCATCTATCCCCACTCGCGTTCACCCTCGCCTGCTCTTGCTTCCAACCCAACCCGACCCCACTCTGCTCCCCTGCATCCCCCTCCCAACCAACACCTCACCACACAACAGGACAGCGAGCAGTGCTTTGCCGAGACAGCCAAGGGCAGCATGGGGCGGCTGTTTGACTTCGTGGAAGCCTTTGCGCTCACCCTTTCCCACTGCCTCCCTCCGCCGCCCTTCCTGACAACAGGACAGCGAGCAGTGTTTCGCGGAGACAGCCAAGGGCAGCATGGGGCGGCTGTTTGACTTCGTGGAGGCATTCGCGGCGGGGCACAAGGCGCCGGAGCGCCTCTTCGCCATGCTTGACATCTACGAGACGCTGCAGGAGCTGCAGCCGGATTTCAACGCGGTTGTGTGCGGTACGGCACTAGGTCTAGCCCATGTGGGCTGCTGTAGAGCATGGGGTCCCGTCCAGTCCGGTTACCATGTGTTGGTGTATTGGATTCTCTGCCTGTGCTCTCTTCAACAACAACCTCTAATTTTTGGCCGTTTGCCACCCCTGTCTATCTTCTCTGACTTCAAAACATCTCAGAACCTGACCCCCCACTCCCCCTCCCCCTCCCCCTCTCCTCACACCCCCTCCCTCCCCCACCTCCTCCAGGCAACGGTGCGTGCCGCAGTGTGCGAAACGAGCTGTCGGTGGTATTAAGCTACGTGGGCGTGGCAGTGAGAGGCATCCTCGCTGACTTTGAGCGAAACATAGAGCAGGAGGACAGCCGGCCCCCTCCCGCCGGCTCCGTGCACGGACTCACCAGCTACGTCGTCAACTACCTTGGCTTGCTCTTTGAATACAGTGACACTATTAATAAGCTGTATAGTAGCAGTGGGAACGCGGTGGTGGTGCCGGTGCCCAAGCTGCTGCGGCTGAGGTCGGACGAGGAGGAGGAGGAGGAGTTTGAGGAGGAGGAGGTGCAGGGGGAGGAGGAGGGGGAGGAGGGCGGAGTGGTGGGGGAGGATGGGAAGCGGTACTGGGGGGAGCCGCAGGAGGAGTATCGCGAGGTGGGGCGAAAGATCAGGGGGATTCTGAAGGTCCTGGAGGCGAAGCTTCTGGGAAAGGCGCTGACGTACCGGGATGCAGGGCTGGCACACTTTTTCATGATGAACAACGTGCAGTACATTGCGCGCAAGGTACGAAGGGTGTTGCATACAAGCTGGGACTCTATTCTGCGTGCAAGGTGAAGAGCTGTGCGGTGTACATGCTATGCTGGTGGGGGTCAACTAGATTAGGTCAGACATGATACTTGAGTCGACTAGGGCCTCTTTCTCGTCTGGTCTCTCCTCCCTAATTGTGATGGACACACGCAGATGAAGGGGTGCGAGCTACGCATGCTAGTGGGAGATCACTGGATCAAATAGGAAGCCACTTGCGTGTCGATTCATACCTTTCATTCCCTCCGTTCTCTCCTCCCCTCCCGAACTGTGACGCACACGCACAGGTGAAGGGTTGTGAGTTGCGCATGCTGGTGGGGGATGACTGGATCAGGGACCGGGCAGACATGGCGCAGCAGCAGGCGAACGAGTATCTCAAGGTGGCCTATTTATTCCTCAAGTCAGATGTTTCTCTTTAATCCTCTCTGCTCCTGTACTGCACAGGTGAAGGGGTGTGAGCTGCGCATGCTGGTGGGGGATGACTGGATCAGGGACCGGGCAGACACGGCACAGCAGCAGGCCAACGAGTACCTCAAGGTGGCGTGGAACCGCGTGGTGGCACCGCTCAGAGAGGTCCCCACCACCTCCTTCCTCAACCCCAAGGGCTCGCTCAAGGTAATCCCAAGGGCTCCCTAACGGTACGCTCCAGACTTTACTGATGTAATCCCAGCAGCTCCCTCAAGGTTTTTTTTAGGGGCTTCCCTGTGCTTGCTGCATTTCAATTTGTGCTTACATTCTTCACCTCTGCAGCTTTTTTGTTTCGTGTTGACTACTTTGGGCGGACTATTATGTTAAATGCTCGTGACTGCAACTTGCAGGAAATATTCAAGCAGTTCTCGACATTGTTCGAGGAAGCGTGCAGGGTTCAGCGAGCCTGGATGGTCAACCCTGGCCCTCTGCAACAGGAGCTGCATCAGGCTGTGCGGTACAGGGTGCTATCACTCTACACCCTCTTTTACAAAACACATGGTGCCACTCTGCGGCATCAATCCAAATATATAAGGCACACCCCGCAACAGGTGAACGAGATGATAGGGAGCCTCTTTGAAGGGCATCAAGGGTGATGTTCTAAAGTGATATGTATCTAACCTAGTGTTGATATATCTTATCTAGTATTCAGCCTGTAAAAAGGCAGCAAGAGGTGTGCCTATAGCCTACCAGGAAAGGTGTTGGCCTCAACCAGAAAGGAAGTTGGCCTGGCTATCACTTCGAGAGCGGTATGGTATGTGGAAGCAATTTCACTAACTACGAGTTTTTTCTATTTTGCAGAATCACTGCACACGAATCTTCTTTTATGCGTACATCCCAAGTCGCCTGACAGACCCTCGATTCCTCCACTCTCCCTCCTGCCATCACCACCACTGCCTACTTCCGTCGCTTTTCCTACAACCTCGGTCGATTCATCAAGCCTCGACTCTGCTCCTCCACCTTGATTTCCCCACAGCCTCGATCCCTCCACGACTTCACCCTTTTCTCGTTTTCACCAGCCACAGCAGGAAGTCTGGTACAGAACTTCCCAACGGGATGCCCGCAGTACTCGCCTAATCACCTATTTTCCAGCGTTTCGCTGAAGTCATGTCATTATCCAATATCTAGGGTATGCCTGTGGTGTCAAGTCCAGCGTGGTTCGTTTCGCGTACAAAGCATTGTGGCATGGTAGTGAAACGGGGGTCCCATGGCTACCGTGGCTCATCTGGCGTCGCTCGTTCCCCGCAGCCATCGCACCATCACCGCTGCGCGAAACGTCATCGCGTGCCTACTCTTCGTCCACACCGTCATCGCCCTTCTCTTCTTCAACCTCATTCCTCTTCCGTTCGCCACGCCATTGCTACGCCCGACCACTGACGTGAAAATAGACGACCTCGTCTTTCTCCCTTCGCGATACGATATCGGTGAATCGAATTCCTCAGAGTTTACGGAAGGGGGGAGCGTGCCGAGAGAGGTAGAGGAGGAAAGCGGCGGATCGGCATTCCCTGAGGCACAAGCAGTCGACGCATTCATGGACCCGCAGCTCTTCTCTCTGGAAGAGCTCGCACGCCGCGAGGTGCTCTCGACAGCGCGCAGCGATATGCTGCGACGCATCGACGACGAGCTGCGGCACGACGACTCGGGAAAAACGTGTTCGCAAAAGGTCGCATTTGTCGCATGGGCTGACGGAAACCATGCGACGCTAGTAAGAGGGAATACCTCCATTGCTCGCGAAGCAGACCCGCTGATGGCTAATGAGACTCGTTCAGCTTCCGTAGCACCAGTGGATCTGCCTGCGAAGCGTGAGTTTCTCTTAGAGGTTCGCGCCGCTATCGCCGCCATGACCAATGTGAACCAATCCGAGCTCGACGCGCTTCAGATGAAGCTTCTAGACGTCGAAAGGCAGCAGAAACAGCAAGAGTCAAATGCATTTTTCGATGCATGGCGTCGCGCAAACCCCCAGGTGACATGGCCGCCCCAGAATACGATTTCCTCTGGCCTCGCCGAAAGGAATAAGCTGCCTCCGCGCATTCCGCGGAAACCAAGCCGGGACGTGCGCAAGCTGTTCCGACGGAGTGACGATTCCGCAGCCAATGAGCGAAGAGCAGAGGACGCTCAAGCGTGGAGCAAGTCGCGGCTTGGGGACGATCAGATTGTGATGGTGCTGTTGGTGCACAACCGGCCCGCGTATCTCAGACGGACGCTCGCTTCCATGCGACGCGTGGAAGGCATTCAAGACGTGCTGCTCATTGTAAGGTGAGCGAGGTGCTCACTGTAAGGTGAGTGCAGGTGGTCATTCTAAGGTGAGTTCAGGTGGTCATTGTAAGGTGAGTGCAGGTGGTCATTGTGAGGTGAGTGCAGGTGGTCATTGTAAGGTGAGTGCGAGTCGTTTCTTCGAAAGAAACTTCTTAATTCCTGAGCATGCGGCCTCTCTCTTTGTCACGTAAATTCCCTGCTGCTTGTTGTGCCATTGCACTGCAGCCTCATCTCACATGCTTCATCGTCTTCCCCAAATGCTTCCTCTCTTTGTCATGCAGCCACGATGGGTACTACCCCAAGATGGACGCCATGGTGAGGGCGATTGACTTCTGCCCCGTGAAGCAGATCTACTTCCCCTTCTCCCCTCACCTCTTCAACGGCACCTTCCCTGCAGCTTCCCCTGACGACTGCCAAGGCCGGCTCCCTAGGAGTGAGGTCGCCTGGGGGGAAGCAGAAGGTGACGAAGGGGATGGTGGAGGAGGAGGAGAGGGATCGGAAGAAGGGGAGTGGGTAGGCAATTGCAGTGGACAGGCGGATCAGTTTGGAAGGTTCAGGGACCCTCGGATAATATCTCTCAAGGTGAGATTGGTCACCACAATTCTCTGCTTAGACACTGTATTTGATGTTACCTGCTTCCTCACCAGGCTCTCTCTCCCTCGCTGGCCCCCACTGCCTTACCCCATTGCAGCACCACTGGTGGTGGGCGATGAACTCGGTGTGGGGGGGCGTGGAGGAGACGCGGGGGTATGGAGGGCACGTGGTGTGGGTGGAGGAGGACCATCTGCTCTTCCCCAACGCCCTGCGCCACCTGCGCGCGCTCCTCCACGCCAAGCACGCGCGCTGCCCCCACTGCATCGCCGCCAACCTCGCGCCCTCCGACGTGCATGAGTGGCAGGACAGTGGGCCGCGGTCGTTCTCTGTGGAGACCATGGGGAACATCGGGTACTGCTTCAACCGCACTGTGTGGGATTTGATCCACAAACAAGCAGAGGTATGCGATCCCATTTTTTGAAGTCTCATGTACACAATCCTTCACGATTTGTCTCTGTTGCTGGTGCTAGTATAAACTCAGCACCTCTCCGCGTGTCCACGCGCAGGCATTTTGCTACTTCGATGATTACAATTGGGATTTTACAGTGTCGGGCTCTGTGTTGAAGCGGTTACCGAATGCCTCTTCTATTCGCTGGTCAAGAACAAGCGCAAGACACTTCGGCAATTGTGGATTTCACTCAGGGAGGGGGCGGACGAGCAGCAACTGCATAAAGAACAAATCTTGGTGGAATCATAATGATGATGGTGAGGAGGTTGTGATTACAACTGAAGATACAATGATATCCATAAATGGTTCTGCTCCGTTGATTTCTAGGAGCTTCAAAATCACCCCTAGCTCTTTTAGAGGTTGGGGTGGATGGGGTGATGGGCGTGATATAAAGTTATGCATTCACATATCTAAGATGTACAGTTCTTGAATGTTCCATATAAGTCATTTTATCCAAAGCACACTTTTGCATGTCATGGATGATCAGTAAACGCACATATCGAATCGAATGGACCCTCAACAACCTCCTTCTCGGAAGGCCTATCATCACGCCTCTGTTCGCGCGTTTCGCCGCCACCTATTGTTCGCACGCGGGAATGCAGACGTCCCGAAATTAGTCGCGATCAATCTCCTTTACGCCGTCGGATTGAGGAAACACGAGTCGCTCCATCCCGTCACATCGCCTTCAACGGCGAAGTGCGCGTTTCACAGAAAACCAGCCATCGCAGACGCAAATTTCAGACAGGATTGGACTTGTGTGGCGGCGAGGCAGTCTGCCCTGTCGCCAGTCTTTGCGACCCGGCCATTATCACTCTCCACTCCTCTTCATTCCTCTCCATTCCGCAACCTGTTTCACGTTTCATCGAACAGTCACTACCTCCCGACCGATTGATGTTCCTGCTGCTGCTCTTGCTGCTCGCTGCCATCACACAGCGGAAACAAAACCACTGACCTTGGAGCCTGGCCACAAGCATCACGTCAACGCATAGCAGACGCGAGCCATTTTATATTCTACGGAGAGCCTTTTGTAGGAGACTTGGACTTATTAGAAAGCTCAGTAGACAGCTCGTGCGCTGGCGGCAGCGCATCCTCTCGCTACTCATGTCGTTCCTTGCTCGCCTTATTTCGAGCCAACTCGGATCGCTTCGCACAGCAGCTCTCGCTAGGCCTTTAATCGCCGTTCATCCTTCCGTTAACGCGCACAACCTAGGCGGGCTCATCTCTCCGCGGTACTATCGGCGTTATGTTTCCCCCGCATGCACCTCATCGTGCCTCCTCCTGCTGCTCCTCGTGCAAGCGCTCCTCGCGCTCGCACTCTTCCACGCCGCGTCGCCCTCTGGAGGATTTTCGCCCGTATCTCTCCTCCCGGCTCGCCTCCTCCCGCAAGCTTGGAACCCTTCTGCGACGAAAGAAGTGGTTGTCGCAAAGGACTCTGACTCAACCGAGGAACCAGGCGACATGAGCGACGAAAGTGACGTACGCGAGACTGTAGACGAGTGGATGAGGCGAGGCGATTTGTTGCGAATAATCGACGAGAATTTAGCGAAGCTGCGAACTCGCTGGTGGCTCGCGCGCATGCCGCGGCTAATATGGCCCTTGTTTCGCTATTCTGCTCCGAAAGTAGGAATAGAGCTAGCGGAATCTGATGACGTGGCGATAGCAGATGGCACGTGGCTCGTTTCTAGTACACGCGAACCTTCCGGAATCCTCAACCAAAAGCTGTTCCGAAGTGGATTCGCGGTGCTGAACGCCGCATTTCGTGGAGAATCAACGATCCGCGCCACGACTGAAGACCGGAATCGCGCTGACTTAGAAATGGAGGAAAATCTGAAGTCGATGCGGGATGAGGTGGAGAAAATGGATTTGAAGGCGGAGGAGAGTTACGATCGCGCGGGTGCTAGACTGCTCGACCTGTTTAACGGCAGGAAGGAACGCGAAGCCCAATCGTTCTTCGACACGTGGCGTCGCATGAACCCGCACGAGCCGTGGCCGCCTTCCTCGCCGCTCTCTCGGCGGCTCGAGGAGTGGAATCGCCGGCCGGCGAGAACGCCCGTGGCGGCGGGAAACGCGGAGAAGAGCGGCGGGGGGATGGGGCTGCTGGCGAAGCTTCGCGCGCAAGTGCGGCGACGCGCGAGAGGGAAGCGCGCTAGCAGTATCACTGCTACTACTGGTAGCAGTAGTGATAGCAGTACTAATGTAACCCGATCGCGAGGCCCGTGGAAGAAACGGTTGAGCGACTCGGACGTGGTGATGGTGCTGCTCGTGCACAACCGGCCGGCGTACCTGCGACGCACGCTGGAGGCGCTGAGCAAGGTGGAAGGCATTCAAGACACGCTGCTCATCGTCAGGTGCGGTTATGCCTCGTCGTCCGCTCCGCCACCATTCCCCACGTCAAACAGCTTACTGTGCTCCGCCTTGGGCGTGTCATTCCCCACGCCCATGAACTCTCGCCCTTCCCCTTCCCCTGAAGTTCGCCCCTTCCTCTTTCCCCTCATATACCCCCCCTTCCCTGATATTTTCTCCCTCCCTTCCTCTTTCCCCGCGCAGCCACGACGGGTACTACCCCGAGATGCACGCGCTGGTGCGCGGAATCACGTTCTGCGCCGTCAAGCAGCTCTACTTCCCGCTCTCCCCGCACCTCTTCAGCGCCTCCTTCCCCGCCGCCTCCCCCGCCGACTGCCAGGGGAGCGCGCACGACGCCACGGGAGGGGGAGAATGTACGGGGCAGGCGGACCAATACGGGTCGTTCAGGGATCCGCGGAGGCTGTCTCTCAAGGTGAGCGGAGAGGGTTCATTGGCTGCTCTGCGTGCCCACTCTGCCTCCAGTCCTTCACCCCTCTCCGTCATCCCAGTACTCTTTTTACCGCTCTCCCCATGCCATGCTCACCACTCCCATGCTGCATCCCATTGCTGTCCGCGTGTGCGCAGCACCACTGGTGGTGGGCGATGAACGCGGTGTGGGGGGGCGTGGAGGAGACGCGGGGGTATGGAGGGCACGTGGTATGGGTGGAGGAGGACCATCTGCTCTTCCCCAACGCCCTGCGCCACCTGCGCGCGCTCCTCCACGCCAAGCACGCGCGCTGCCCCCACTGCATCGCCGCCAACCTCGCGCCCTCCGATGTGGTCTCCATACAGGACGACGAGCCGGGGGTGTTTTCAGCGGAGCGCATGGGCAATGTGGGGTATGCGTTCAACCGCAGCGTGTGGGAGCTCATTCACGCGCAGGCCAAGGTGAGAGTGAGACGGCGCCCCTGTCGTAAGACCAAGTGGCTCGTTTGTTCTCACTCACCGTCCTCTCTTAGCTTTTTGTTCTGCTATGAAGGACCCCTGATTCTTCTCTGCCAGTCACCCTATCCCTGCCAACCACCCACCCCATTTCTGCCAATCAACCACCCTATCCCTGCCAACCGCCCCACACCCCGCATCCCCCAGCCGTTCTGCCTGTACGACGACTACAACTGGGACCTGACCCTCTGGTCGTCCGTGCTGCGCCGCCTGCCCTCCTCGTGGTCGCTGCGCTGGTCCCGCGCCAGCGCCCACCACGTGGGGTCCTGTGGGCTGCACTCTGGGCAGGGGGACTCGCAGGGCAAGAGTAACACTAGTGCAGCTGCTGCTGTGAAAGGGAGTGGTGGGGAAGGGAGCGAGAAGGATGGGGAGGAGGGCAAGAAGGAGGAGAAGAGTGCGGGGTGTAGTATAGGAGAGGATGGGATAGAGAAGGTGCAGTTGTTGGATGAGGACCATTGGATGATGGTGAATGCCTCTGCTCCTGTTGTGGAACGCGAGGAGGAGAAGCGGTGGACGATGTTTCAGGGATGGGGTGGGTGGGGGGACGGAAGGGACATCCAACTGTGCATGCACATAGCAAACATGTATAGAGAAAGAGCCACCATGTAGCAGCAAGACCACACTTATGATGGTAAGCCAAATTCGTTTAGATGGAGGGCATAGCGTCTAATTGTTTTCAGCTGATAGGTAAAGGCAAAGGAGAAGCAACGGATTGAACTGATTTGGCCTTCTTCCATGCTGGAGGTGGTCTCTGCACTTTCTAATGTATTAAGAGTGGCGCTTATTCAAATCCTAATGAAGTGTACATTACCTCCTTTTGGGCTTGAGCTGCCGAAATTTTTGAGGGCCGCCCTGAGGTGAAGTGCAAAAAGCACAGGGGATCCCAGGTTCTAGCTGCTCCAATTCCTAATGCTGTACCTGCTCGAATTCCTAGCGCTCCTGAATGCTCAGATGTCAGTACCTTAGAAAGCATTGAAACTATGGTACCTTGCAGTTCATTGGTGTCGAACATACCATTCTTCACCACGCTTCTGCTATCGCTCCTCGTCGCGAGCGCGACATTCGGTAGAATCGCCGTCACTGATGGCGCCGATAGAGTCACAATTCGTGACGGTGGAACCCCGAATTCACGACGCGCAGTTGTCACGCCGCCGCCAGGAGCGGCGCGTCGTGCGGTAGTAGAGGACGAAACAGCGCGAGAAAGGACACTGCGGCTGTTTATCGTCGAAGAGGCAAAGAAGCACGGCGCGGGTGAGGAGTGGGACTAAGGTGTGAGATAATGGCGTGCGAGGCAGTGAGATGCGCTTTAGTGCCAGTCATGAGACGGCGTGAGACACGAGGGGGCTTGGAGTGGAAGAGTTGATTGAGACTTATCAGTTTGCGGCCATCAATAAACGATTCGCTTCGTCCCTCTCCCTGGTCCAGCAATCAGAACGCTGAAGCCGCATTCAGAGCGCATCGTTGTTGCAATCAGGCATCCACGCTGTAGCATTCAAAACGACTGGTTTTGTCAGAAGCCGTGTGCGTTGGTTCTCTGTCGTCCATACCCATCACACCGCATCTCACGTCCAATACTACGCGTGCTCATGGTAAATCTGTGTCATTCCGCCTCATCCCTCCCCCGACCACGTGGCACTGGCAGTGTGTCTGGACGGGTCCGCGCCCGGCTTCTACTACCGGCGAGGCCATGGCAGCGGCGCTAACAAATGGCTGCTCAACTTCCGGGTGAGATTTATGAGCGTGTAGATGGAGACATGTTAGCGTGCGGACATGGAGACATGCAGGCGCGCGGACATGCAAATAGTCATGTCATGCTGTCACGCCGACATGCGCACATGCAGACATGCAGTCATGCAAACAACGTTCTTGTGCCATTGCAAACTTGGCACACGACATGCCTCCTCGTTTTGTTCTGTGTTATCACATGTCATGCCATCTCGCCGCGTTTCCCCCGCGGTCCACCCACAGCCCTACCACGCCTCCCATCCCTATCTCCCCCGGTGCAGTCGGGAGCATGGTGCACGTCCCCCTGGGACTGTTACAACCGCAGCTCGTCGCTGTGGGGCAGCTCCAACCACTTCCCTGACGTGCTGCCCACACCCGGCATTCTCAGCGCCCAGAGCGACGTCAACCCAGGTAGGCTAGACCGCAGCGAGCCCGTCTGATGCCGCTTGCTCTTGCCTCTGGGCTTCAAGGCACGCTCAGCTCCTTCCTGTGGGGCAACTCCACCGCCTTCCGAACGTGCTGCCTGTGCTGACAGCAAGCATGGTCAGTAGAAGATAGGCATGCTTTCTGTGGCATGTCAGCCACTGCAGTTACCGCCGCCAAGGCTGGTGCATGAGCAAGCCGTGTGTCGTGTCAACCACGCCCCATGCCATGGAACGTTTGTGCAGATATGCATGACTGGAACCTGGTCATCTTCCCATACTGCGATGGTGCGTCTTTCTCTGGTGACAGGCAGGACCCACTGGTCTTTGAGGTGAGGCGCACACTGATACTTGCTCTTTCAAAATAGGGAAGGGGCGATTCTGTGCCTTGCTTGAGTCTGACAGCCTGCCCTGCAGTGCATGACATCATTTTATAAGTTCATATTCATGCCATAACTTCATGCCGCAGGTTCTCATGGGCTCATCCGACAGGGTCAGGCCATGCATCCATGCACATCCTCTCCATTCCACCCTGCATCGTTCCATCCCTCACCCCCTCGAACACCCCTCTTCCTCCTCTCCCCCCTCCCCAGGGAGTGCCGCTCTACTCTCGCGGGCGGCGCATTCTCGACTTTCTCCTCGCGCACCTCACAACCAGATTCCACATGGGCACGGCACAGCGGGTGAGGTGTGAGCAGTGGGCATGGGAAAGTTTTGAGACATTTCAAAACGCGGCGCATCCTCGACTTCCTCCTCGCACACCTCACAACACGATTCCACATGGGCACGGCACAGCGGGTGAGGTGTGAGCAGCAGGCATGGGAGAGGTTTGAGACAATTCAAAACGCGGCGCATCCTCGAATTTCTTCTTACACACCTCACAACCAGATTCCACATGGGCACCGCACAGCGAGTGAGGGGTGAGCAGCAGGTGGGGCAGAGAGGTTGCGTATAGGGCAGTGCAGAGCGGGTGTGGGATGGCAGGAGAGTGCTGTGGAAGCCAAGGGCAGTGGGTGATGGCATCGCTGCAACAGGCCTCAGTCACTACCCACGCTGCCCCACACCACCACTTGCACTCCCTTGCTGCACCTCATGCTGCCCATGTACCATTCCCAACCAGCCATGTCCAACCTGTGCCTCCCGTCACTCCCAATCCCTGTCCCTCATTGGACTTTGAATTCCCGTGGCTGCATCACGTGCTTGTATCGGGGTGCTCAGCAGGCGCACTGGTGGTGTATCTGCACTGCGACTACATCCGCCACACACACATGCCTCTCTCCTCCCAACCCCTGTCCCTCATAAGCCTATTCACTTTCTATCCTCTTGGCCGTGCCAGGTGCTCATATCGGGGTGTTCAGCAGGCGCCCTGGTGGTGTATCTGCACTGTGACTACATCCGCCACGCACACATGCCCCCCTCCGCGTCCGTGCAGTGCCTTGCAGACTCGGGCCTCTTTCTTGACATGTGAGCCGCTTCCTCCCCACACTCACGCACCCACTGCCTCGCCCAGACCTCACTCCTGCTTAATGTGCCTTCACATCAGCAATCCCATACCGCTGGACCTCTGTTTGTTTGTACCATCCCATGCCATGGAACGCGGCATGCCTTTGTTCTCTCATCCCCACCCCTCTGCTGCTCCCGCCTGTGCCACAGTCCAGACATCAGTGGTGGCAGGGCGGCTCAGACGCTCTTCCGCTCCGTGCTCGCCATCCATGTGCGTGTGCTCGCCATCCATGTGCGTGTGCTCGCCATCCATGTGCGTGTGCTCGCCATCCATGTGCGTGTGCTCGCCATCCATGTGCGTGTGGTCTTCTCCCTCTTCTGATTCCTTTGCATAGTGGACTCTTAGTCACATGTGCCACCACATCACATCACAATAAGTGTCATCATAGCCTCACCATGCCTCGCTGTGCTTCTGTGCTGTGCTGCACACGTGGCAGAATGTGACTGGCAGTCTTCCCGCCTCCTGCGTCTCCTCTCGTCCACCTGGAGACCACTATCAGGTAAGCTCTGCTCCTATCACCTCTGCTGCTATCACTTCTGCTGCTATCACCTCTGCTGCTAACACCTCTGCTGCTATCACCTCTGCTGCTATCACTTCTGCTGCTATCACCTCTGCTGCTATTATCACCTGTGCTGCTAACACCTGTGGTGCATACGAGTCTAAGTCTCTACGTGCTACCACACGCGCCATGCTATGTGAAACCATCATCCTAGCCGTATGCATACCCTACCCTGTGCTGTGTGCTGTGTGCTGTGCCACGTGGCAGTGTTTCATGTCAGCGCAGCTACTACCTCTCCTTAGGACACCCACGTTCATCATCAACAGCAACTACGACCTCTGGTTGGTACGCCACCACCTCGTTTCTTTCAACTATGCCCTGGGCATCATCTCTCAGCGCGCTTTTGGAGTTGCTCATAGCCACGCCTGCATTGACCCCCCTTTGGATCATCGTTCTGCAACCACATCAGGCATCCTTGACGTGCGTTTAGCTCTCAACGGCTTAGATGACCACTTCCCCCTCCCGCATCTCATGCATCCCCCCATTGGTATTGCCCCCTCCTTTCTTCCCAACCCTCTCCCCTCCTTTCTCCACTCTATCAGCCCTCCTCACTGTTCCTCTCACCCATTTCCTGCGCTATGAACCACATCCCCTCACTTCCCCCACCCTTGTGCTGCGCTCAGTTGCGGCACGCACTGGCCCCACCAGAGGCGGACCCGTCAGGCGAGCTCATCGCCAGCTGCTTGAGGAAGCTGCACACGTGCAACCAATCCCAGCTCGCCACCTTGCAAGGTGATGCTGCAGCCACCATTGCATGTTACGCAGCCATCTGAAACTGCCGTGTTCCCTCTCTGTCTATTATTTGCCTTCCCGTTTCTTCTCCTCAACATATCCGTTTGTCATCCCAATCGTTTCACTCTACCATGTGCCATGCCCTCTCTCCCCTCACCCCTCTTCCTCACCCCATCTTCCCAGGAGTGCGGGACACAGTCACAGCCACTGTGGCACCGCTCCTGTCACCCACAGCAGGGGCAGAGGCAGAGGGAGGCGGGGGAGGGCAAGGGGATGTGCAGCGGGAGCAGCAGCAGCACGGGGTGTTTCTGTTCTCGTGCCTGACCCACTGCACAAGCCACTATGAGGACCACTGGCTGCGACTCACCGTGCTCAACCAGGTGAGGGAAGAGGAGCGGGAGCGGGGCAAAGGGGTGTGCAGCAGCGGCACGGGGTGTTTCTGTTCTCGTGCCTGACCCACTGCACAAGCCACTATGAGGACCACTGGCTGCGACTCACCGTGCTCAACCAGGTCCCACCCACCCATCCTCCCCCTTCTCCCCTTCCCACCCTAAACTCCCCGCCCTCTCCTGCCCCTCCCTCTCCGCTTCACCTTGTGGTTCCTCCTCGCTCACCACCACTCACCCGTCACACCCACCTGTCCACCTGCCCGTTTCCTCCTCTCACTTCTCGGCATGTGTTTCTGTTTCTTTGATGCCTGCTCACACCACTTGGGACTGCCATCTCGTTCCTCCTCTCCCAACTTGCATATCTGCTGTGGCCTTGCCTCGCCGATTCTCATGCCCTGCCGATTCTCATGCCCTCACTCACTCACACTTTGGGAATGTCCCTCGCTGTCCTCCTTTCACCCACTCAAACGCCTGAACACTGTGCCTCTTTCCTCCTCTCTCCGCCCCCTCTCCGCTGTGCCACCCCATGCCTCCCCTGCAGACTCTGATGCACGCTGTGGGCCAATGGCTGCGAGCCGTGCACAATACCACAGAGGCACAAGGCAGTAGCAGCGGTGGCACGGGGGGGTTTGAGGCAGCGCTGATAGACTGCCCGTACCCGTGCAACTCGTGCAACGTGCGGGCCCCGCCTCTCATGGCACCCTCAGCTCAAAAACAGGTGGAAGCAAGTCAAGGGCACGAGGGGGCCGTGCAAGGGCAGGGGGCGGTAGCACAAAGGCAGGCGGCTCAAGGGCAAGCATCTCAAGGGCAGGTGAACGCAAGTGCAGCTCAGGGGCAGGGCAAGACAGAGGCCCCACGAGCACAGGTGGGAGCACAGGCAGGGCAAGTGCAGGTGAAGGAAACAGAGGTGGTGCAGCGGGAGAGGGGCGTGCCAATACAGACAGAACAGGCTGGCCCGGTGGCACCAGACGCAGGTGGAGTTCAAACTACCGTTTGACATGCTTGGTGCTTGTTTCGATGTTTACATAACACAGCAAAATTGGTGGCTGGTGCAGGCTAAAACAAACATTTCTTGCCTCCTGTAACTTCTGCTGCAGCTGCCAGTCGAGCCGCCTACCACAACCTTATAAATACAAGGCCTACACTTATGGAGAGTATGGTATGGAGAGAGTGCTAAACCTGCCATTCACAGATGGCATACACATGGGTTCCATTTTCCCAATGAAGATGCTCAACGCACAGCCCTCCATCCTTCATGCAGAAACTAGTTACGGTACCTCTACCGCTTCGCCACTCTCCCCCCCTCCTGCCCAATCCCCCCAACCCCTCCCCCTACAGCCCCCCCCCTCTTCTCTGCATCACTCCTCCCCACCCTGCTCCACCACTCTATGGTACATCGTGCCGTTGATGTTCACCTCACTGAGCTGTGTCTGGTCTAAACTCAGAACCTGCATCACTCCTCCCCACCCTGCTCCACCACTCTGTGATATGTTGTACCGTTGATGTTCACCTCACTGCCACCTGACCCCGGGTACTCGAAGAAGAAAGCATCCTCCACTCGCCCCCCTTCATACCGCAACTCTATGCCATTCCCCCTTATCTCATACTCCCCCCTCCCCTCCCTCTCCTCATCATCCACCTCCCCTTCCCTCCCCTCCAACTCTCCCACTCTCCCCACCCCCATCCCTGCTCCCTCCCCCACGCCCATCCCCCCTGCCTTACACGGCAATATCCCTGTCGCGCCCTGCACACTGAATGTCCCATCTCCCCGGAAAGTCACAGTGGTCCCACCATGCACGCCCGAAGCCTCTGCTGCATCGACAAAGTCTCGAGCTGCCGCATGAACAAACCTCCCCTCCAACCTACACCCCTCCTCCGCCTCGCACGGCTGTACCCTCTTAAACACCACGTCGCCGCCGCCCACCCGCACCTCCTGCTGACCTGGCGCCAGCGCCACCTGGCACCCGCCATACTCAAACTCGCGCGCCGGGCCGTGGGCGTGCGAGAGCGGTACGAAGCGGTGCGGGTTGGTGCGGCGGTCGTGGTGGAAGTCGAAGTGGCGCGGGTCCCCGTGGGGCAGGCCGAGGTAGAGCTCGCCTGTGGAGAGCAGCGCCCAGTACTCCGTCCATTCCTTGAATGAATAGCTGCAGGGAGGGCAGTGACGGAGGGGAACAGCGCAGTGGCAAGGTTATGCGCTGTCACAAATGGCAGGCCAAGTTGAAGCTCGCCTGTGGAGAGCAGCGCCCAGTACTCCGTCCATTCCTTGAATGAGTAGCTAGTGGGGGGAAAAGGGGGGATATTGAGGACCAAGTGGGAGCAAGTGGAGGCTTTGAGTCCAAGAACGAGGCTTCCTGTTGAGAGCAGCGGCCTGTAAGTACTGCATCCACTGCTTGAACGAGTAGCTGGTGGGGGGATAGAGGGGGAGGGGGGACAGCGCAGTGGCAAGGTTATGCGCTGTCACAAATGGCAGGCCAAGTTGAAGCTCGCCTGTGGACACCAGTACTCCGTCCACTGCTTGAATAAATACCTGCAACCGGCAGTGGGGGGTCAGTCAATAAGTGGGAGGGGGGAAGAATTAAGGTGGCGGGCAGTGTGTGGGGGGGGGCAGTGGAACGCTTTGAAGCGTTTCAAAACAGGCAAGGGTAAAGCTCTCGTATGGAAAGCAGCGCCCAGTATTGCGTCCAGCGCTTGAAGGAGTAGCTGGTGGGGGGAATATTGGGCGGCATTGGGGCAATGGGGGACACTGGGGTCCAGTGGTGTGGGAGAAAGAGGGGGGCAGTGGGGGTGATGGTGTGGGAGAGGAGGAAAGAGTCTGGGTCAGTGGTTGGGTAGACTGGGAGGAAGGGAGAGTGGGAGCACTGAGGGGGCGCACTGTCCATTGGGGATGCAGAATGGGGTCACTGGGGGAGCAGAATGGGAACCTTAGGGGGGCAAAAAGGCGGCATTGGGGGTGCATTGGGTGTGTAGTGTCTGCTGCGCACGACTTGTGAGAACATGGGAGGGGGTATTGGGCGAGACATACCCGAAGGTGAGCACGTTGGGTGTGTAGTGTCTGCTGCGCGCCACATACAGCTCCTCCACCGCCACTTCCCGCGGCCCCTCCCCTTCCCCTTCCCCCTCCGCCTCCGCCTCCCTCCGCCTCTCCTCCTCCGCCGCGCGCATCATCATCAGCTCCCGCTCGCGGCGCCACCGCTCCATGCGCTGCTTCACCGTCTCGCGCCCCCACTTCCGCCCGCTCGGCCCCCCCGCCTTGCTGCTCCGCGCTTGCCCCGCCTGCGCAACAGCGCCAGTAGGCGCGCCCGTGCTGTTTCTCCGCGTCTCCGCGCCGTCCTCGTCCCCGCGAGAGTCATTCCCCTCCGCTCCTCCCCCCTGCGCTCCGCCTGAACGCGCGCTCCCTGTCGCGCGCACCCCCACATCCTTGAGTCCCGGCGGGCGCTCCGCGCCATTCGCGGAAGCCGGGTCTTCGCGCTCTTGGTGCGCAATGATCGGCAGCGGAAATTGCGGGAGGCGGCGCTGAAGGCCGTCCATGTGGCGGGAAAGATTCTCCCGCCACTGGCGCGCCACATTGCCGCTCTCCCACTCCGCCCGCACTCGTCTAACGAACGAGACTATATCGAAATCCGAGCCGGACCGAACGGTTCCTTCCATCGCAAAGCAGCGTCGTATGGCAATGCTCTGGTGGCAGAATGCGTGCGGCGGAGCGGACTAGTAGTAACCTTTCTGCACTCGTATGCAGCCAAGTCTTGAAGCTAGAATGCAGTAGCTCAACAAGTTCCGTCTATTGTGTTTGGTGTTGGCTGTAGAACGGTGCTGATCCCCTCCCCGCTCTGGGGGATTTGCTGCTGACGCGCGGAGCATCGTGAGCTGACGTGGAGTGGGGGCATATGATGACGGAAGATGGAGTGTATGCTGACGTGCTACTCAATCTACAAGTGAGAGTGATGACAGTGGTACTGACCTCATCACCTACCGTTCACACAGCTTCCCATACGCGATATTGCACATGGTTGACCGGGCTCAACCATTTTAGCTCGCTGCAAACCAAGATAACTCCCATCTCTCAATAAAAAGCAAATGTTGTATTTCCTCCCAAAACCAAATACACATTTAGCTATCGTAAATAGACGATCAGCATCGCTCAATAGCGAATCATCCATTCAGCATCTCCCCTCCATCGCCCTCCTCTTTCGCGCACATGGAGCAAACTCCCTACGCCGCCGTATGAGCCGCGCGTCCCGCCAACAGCGCCCATAGTGCTGCGCGGCATGCATGGGGGGAGATTCTTGCGCCTCCTGCCCCGGCTGCCCCATGCGGAAATCCCGAGGGGAATGCTGCCGCGGGAGGGGGGAGGCCTCGCCGCTGATGCGCGCATGTTGCGCGATTTTCCGCCGCTCTTTCGCCTTCTCACTCGGAAGGAGGGCGTCTCGGCGGAGGCGCTTGGCAGGTTTTGGCGGAGCGGAAACTTGGGGGCTTGGGGCGCGGAAACAACGCATCCGCTTAGGGAGCCGCGGGGGGTGATCGTCGGGGGAGGGGGGGCGGCGTGCCGAGAGAGGGGAACGGTGAGCGGGGAGCGGGGGAATGCGGGTGTGGGGAGGCGCGGATTGCAGATAGCGCGGTGGTTGGGGTGGGGCGAGCGGGGGAAGGAGGGAGGCGCGCGCAGCGGTGGTGCGCCCGAGGCGAGGAGGGAGAAGGCGACGATGGAGCTGCACGGGGAGAGCTGGGTCGACTGGTACAGGTGCGCGCGCTTCGCATTGGGTTTTTTCTTGAAAGATTTCAGAAACGCGGCCATGAAGCACTGCACTCAACTTCCCCCATGGCACCCCATGCCCCCCATGGGCACCCCTCGTCCCCCCATGCCCCCCACGGGCCCCCCATGCATCAGTTGGATGCACGATGTGGACTCCCCCCGCATTCGCCGCCACCTGCAGCACGAGCGCGCCTACCTGCGCGCCCTCATGCGCACCCGAGCCGGTGGGGGGCGGACGATGGGGGAGTGGCAGCGCGAGGTGGTGGGGGAGATGGAGGAGAGCATGCCGCCGCCCTCGCATGGGCCTCCTGAGCCTTGTGGCCCCTGGTAGGTGCATGTGAGGGATGGTGGATACGTGGGTGGGTGAGTGGGTGGGACACTTGTTGCTTGTTCACTAGTCTAATTCCCCTGCCGCACCCGTGCCCATCATCCGAACCCTTTTTCACTCCATACAACTCCTGTGCCCCCCTCCCCACCACCACATTGCACAGGTCCTTGCTTCTCCTCTATCTCCACTCCCCCCCCCCTCCCCCACCCACCAGGCTGTACGGAGCACGGGTGCCAGACGGGCAGGAGCTGCCGGTGCTGTTCCGCTGGCCCGCTGCCATGCACACGGGGGAGGTGGCGCACACAGCAGAGAGTGATGGGGGAGGGTGGCAGGGAGGGAGGGGTAAGGGAAGGGCGGATCGAATGGGGGAGCAGATGGGGCAGCAAGGGGTGGCGGGGGAGCAAAGGGCGGAGGAGGGAGGGGTGGAGGAGCGAGGGGAGCAGGTGTTGGTGGATCTGAACGAGCTGGCAGACTATTATGGTGATGCCTCTCGCCCTGCACTGCACCCCCTGCTGCCTCTGCACAGCCTGCTACTGCCTGCCTGCTACTGCCTGCCTGCCTGCTACTGCCTGCCTGCCTGCTACTGCCTGCCTGCTTCTGTTTCACCCACCCTTGCTTGTCTGGCCCCATTCCCACACTCCCCTGGCTCCAATCGCTTCAGCCTTCACATGCTTCCCCCACCTCCCTGCCTCACTCAGTGTGACACCCTCGTTACTCAGGTCCTCCTATTCACTCCACTCCTCCCCACCGCACCACACCCCATCCTACCCCACCGCACCACACCCCATCCTACCCCACCGCTTTGCACCAGGGTACGTGAGGCTAGTGGAGTGCAAGGTCAGTCGCTGCCACGCCCTCCTCGCACTGCTCCTCGACCTCTCGCCCTCCGAGTCCCCCACGCTCTTCCTCCTCCACCTCCCCTCCTCTCCACCATCCCTCCACTCCCGACCCCTCTCCTCACACGTGCGCCCTTCCAAGCCCCTCATCCACTCTCCGCCCTTCGCCGCGCGCCTATTGTGCACGCCCATCCCAGCGGTGGCGACGGTGGATTGGGCGGCAGACTCGCAGCACGTGCTCTATACCAAGCTGGATGCCAACCTGCGGTCGCACCGGTGAGTGAGGGTGGTGAGAAGAGAGAGGGGAGCTGTTTCGAGGAAGCGTATATTGTTCTGCTTTGGAACGTTGCGTGTATGGACATTTGACACCATTCAATATGGTGCCATGGCATGTGCAGCACAGGGTGATGAGGCGACGCATACACATTCCACTGGAAGGAGAGGGAGAGATATTGGAGGAGGGTGAGGAGGGCGAGGAGGACGAGGAGGGAGAGGAGGAGGAGGAGGTGTTGCGGAGCGAGGAGGAGGGGGTGGTGGTGGCTGTGTGTCGCACCAAGGACTGGCGTTACCTCACTCTCAACCTCAACACTCGCAGCTCCTCCGAGGTGTGCACTTGGATTCCATGCACATGCATACGTGCACATGCATACGTGCACATGCATACGTGCACATGCATACGTGCACATGCATACGTGCACATGCATACGTGCACATGCATACGTGCACATGCATACGTGCACATGCATACGTGCACATGCATACATGCACATGCATACGTGCACATGCATACGTGCACACGCACATGCACGTGAACATGCCGTCCTGCCGTCCATGCGCCCACTACAGGACCATGAGGGGTGGCTCTATACTCTCACCGCGTGTGCCTCTCCACTGCTCCAACCATCCACCCCTCTCCCCCCTCCCTCCACTCCAGGTGCATCTGCTAGACGCGCATCACCCCACAGCACCCCCTCGGCTGCTGCAGCGGCGGCGGGAGGGCGAGCAGTGGTTTGTGGAGCACCATGGGGGGTGGCTCTATGCTGTCTCCAACCGCTGCATGCATGAGGAGGGGGAGAGGGAGGTGGAGGGGGAGGGAGAGGGGAAGGGGGAGGGTGGAGGGAGGGATCAGCAGGGGGAGATGGGGGTAGACAGTGGCGAGGGAGGTGGAGGGGAGGAGAGGAGGGTGGGGGAGTATCGTATTGTGAGAGCTCCAGTTCGTTCTGCCCACCGCGCTGATAGCTGGCAGGTGAGGAGCGAGTTACTTTTGAGTCGACTCAAAAGTCAACCTGGCAGGTGAGGAGTGAGTGTATGGGTGGCAGCGCATGGGAGTGGCAGTGCGCGTGGGTGGCAGTGCCTGTCTCTGCCCCATTCTGGCTGCCTTATTTTTCCCTTTTATGACACATTGCTCTCAGCTTTCCACCTTAGATTTCCTTCCTCTCTCCCTCACGCTCACAAGCACTCCTTTCCCCCCACTGCCTGCCTGTGCTCTGCTACCCTCCTCTGCTCACATAACCCGCCACAGCGTGGCGATCAGAGTGAGGGAATGAGACGTGCAGCCATCAGACATATTGATATCGGACATAGAGGTGTTGCGATGCTGCAACCCTCATTCGTTCATCCACCCATCCCACCAGAGCCTGGCGATCAGAGTCAAGGGATGGGACATTCGGCCATCAGACATTGCCATATCAGACATCGAGGTGTTGAGACACTGCCTCGCTGTGCACAGCTACACTCATTCGCTCATCCCCTCAACCCACCAGAGCGTGGCGATGAGAGCCAAGGGGTGGGACATCTGGGCATCCGACATTATGTCGGACATAACGCTGTTGTAGCGCTGCTACACTCATTTGCTCATCCCCTCAACCCACCAGAGCCTGGAGATCAGAGTGAGAGGTTTGGATATCCAGGCATCAGACATTGTTATATCAGACATTGTCATCTCAGACATTGAGGTGTTCCGACACGGCCTCCCTCATCTGCTCATCCACCCAACCCATCCCATCAGAGCCTGGCGATCAGAGTGAATGGGTGGGACATCCAGCCATCAGACATTGTCATATCAGACATCGAGGTGTTCCAACGCTGCCTCGCCGTGCACTGCCTCGTGCACTCCCTGCCGCACCTGCTGCTGCTGCCCCTGCCCCTCTCACCAGAGGGCGGAGTGGGAAGAGAGGAGGGTGGTGTGGGAGGGAAGGGGCGGAGAGGAGAGGAGAAGGGGAGGAGGGAAGTGGAGGTGTGGGCGAGGGCAGTGCAGCTGCCGGAGAGGGTGTGCCATGTGGTGGCGGGGGCCAACCAGGACTTCCATGCGTCCTCTCTCCGCATCATGGTGTCGTCCCCTGTTGTGCGTGCTCACTGTTGCCATGCTTTGAGTCGACTCAAAAGCAGTGCAGCTGCCGGAGAGGGTGTGCCATGTGGTGGTAGGGGGCAACCAGGACTTCAATGTGTCCTCTCTCCGCATCATGGTGTCATCCCCTGTTGTGCGTGCTCACGACTAGCACGCCATCATGCCATCGTGTTGTCGTGCCATCATGCCATCGTGTTGTCGTGCCATCATGCCATCGTGTTGTCGTGCCATCATGCCATTCTGCAATCAGGACTTGATGCCAGCACTTGGCGCATCATGGTGTCATCCCCTGTTGTGACTGCACTCTGCTATCATGCCATCATGCCATCATGCCATCATGCCATCGTGCCATCATTGCTGTAACCACAACCGCTCTCCTCTCCCTCGTCGCCTCCCCCGCCCCTATTCTCTTTTCCTCTCCCCCTGCTCCTCTCTATCCTGTGCTCTCGTCCTCTTCCAGCCATAACCACCACCTGTCCAACATCTTCTCAATGCCCTCTATCTCCTTCCTCTCCTTCCCTGCCTCGCCTGTTCCATGCCCCACCAGATGCCTGACGCCGTGTGTGAGGTGCACATGCCCTCTGGGACCCTCTCAGTGCTGCACCAGGAGCCGTACTGCCGCCACCAACCCCACCAACAGCAGCACCAGGAGCAGCCTGCTAACCAGAAGCATGAGAGAGTTGAGAAGCAGCAGAAGCAGCAGCAGCCACAGCAGGAGCACTCCCCACCGACCCCACGTCTTCATCCCCCCAGCCCTCCCCTACCTCTGCCCCTCTTCTGCGTGCCTGGGCTCATCTGCCAACGCCTCTGGGTACCATCCCCGGACGGCCCACCCATACCGCTCACCCTCATCCACCATGCCAGCAGGCAGCGAGACAGCGAGGGCGCGGCGCTACTAGAGGGGTACGGCGCGTATGGGGAGGTGATGGCAGCGGAGTGGGTGCCCCACCGCCTGCCTCTGCTGCACCGCGGGTGGGTTATTGCCCTCGCGCACACCAGAGGAGGGGGGGAGCTGGGGCGAGCATGGCACGAGGCGGGGCGTGGGGAGAGGAAGGGGCGGGCGGTGGGGGATTTGAGGGCGTGTGGGGAGTATTTGGTGGGGGAGGGGTGGGCGGGGAGGGGGCGGGTGGCGGCGAGGGGGAGCAGTGCGGGGGGGTTTCTGGTTGCTGCTGCTGTGAACGCTGATCCCGGTCTCTTCCGAGCGATTGTGCTGGATGTGAGTGTGACTGCAGTCAAAGCATGTCGCCATGAGCCCAGATGTGCCTTGGAAACAACATGTACTCATGTGAACTATTCGATTAAATCTTCCCGAATACCTCGCACCACCATACACTACCTACCTCCTTCCCTAAGCTGTGACCCCCCTGTCATTCATCTATGTGCTGCCTCGCACTCACTCTCCCCACCTCTCACTTTGCTCTCGCTCATCCACCCACACCTCCTCCCACACCCCCTCCCGCCCCCAGGTGCCATTCCTGGACGCCCTCACCTCAATGAGCAACCCCGCCCTGCCACTCACAGCGCTGGACCGCCACGAGTGGGGCGACCCCCTCGCCTGCCCCTCCGCCTTCCGTGCCCTCAGAGCCCTCTGCCCCGTGCTGAACGTGCAACAAGGGGTCAAGTACCCCGCTGCCCTGCTCTCTGCTGCTCTCCACGACTCAAGGTGATTGCCTGTCTGGCCTCCGCCGTCCATGCCCTGAGAGCTCTCTTCGGCCGTGCTCTGCTCTTCTCTCTGCTGCTCTTCTTGACTGCAGGTTAATCGTCTGAGTCATATCAGGCTTGTATTCAATGCACTGCGAGGCTGTGCCCCGCGCTCAATGTGCAACAAAGGGTGAAGTACCCTGCTGCGCTGCTGGTTTCACATGCACTATGCTTCTCCATCCCTGCCCACTCCCCTGTCCCTCCTCTGCCCCTGCCGTTTCCCTCAGAGTGGGCCCGTGGGAGGCTTTGAAATGGGCAGCCAAGGTGAGAGCAGAGAGCGATTACAGTGAGAGGGAGCAGCCGGTGGTGGTGCGAGTGTGGGGCGACAGAGGGCACGTTGCACCGTGTAGCGGCAGGGAGCAACTGGAGGACGTGGCTTTGGAGCATGCCTTCCTGCTGCACCACGTTGGGGGGGGGGAGCAATCATTGTGAGGAGAAGCGGCCGGTGGTGGTGTGTGTTGGTTGAGTGGGGGCACCGTGCAGCGGCAGGGAGCAACTGGAGGACGTGGCTTTGGAGCATGCCTTCTTGCTGCACCACGTTGGGGGGGGGAGAGCAATCATTGTGAGGAGAAGCGGCCGGTGCTGGTGTGTGCTGGTTGAGTGGGGGCATCGTGCAGCGGCAGGGAGCAACTGGAAGATGTGGCTTTGGAGCATGCCTTCCTGCTGCACTATGTTGGTGCGGACTGCTGATGGAGGTTTGCAGAAACGCTTGGATGGAAGCAGATGGAGGATGTGGCTCTACACCCTGCAGCACGCATTCCTGGTGCAGAATGGGGAGGACTGCTACAGTTATGAAGAAGACGCTTACGAGCAGATGAGGGACGTGATTTGGGCTTGCCTCATAAATGGGTTGCTGTCACTCCACATTTTCATTAGCTACATACTTCGAGATCGTGCAGAGCAGTGGAGCCATCTTGAGCTGCCTGCCCGATTTCTACAAAATAGCCGATCCATGAGAGGATAAGCTTTGCAATTCATATATGTTAATCCATGTACTGTATGATCGCTGCCTGGGCCGACATATGGGGCGATCACGGAGGTGTCAGACCGTGCAGTGCAGGAGGCACAGTCAAAGGTGCGCGAATCTTCTTCTAGTTCTGCTCACAGAAAGCAGAAAGAGTGGAATGCACAGGAGCACAGCACAGGAAGGGCAGAATGAGCGACTACTCAGTGTGCGGCGCAGGGGAGAGAGATAACTGCGGATACAAGGATAGAGAGGATGAACTGCAGTTAAGGCAGAGCGTGTGGAAATTTGTAGAGCAGGCAGAGGGTGTAATAAAACATACCTGCTGTGAGGGGTCATAGCCCTGACCCCCTCCTCCCCCTCCCTGACGCCCATAGAAGTCTCCGCCCCCCCCTCCCATGCCCATGCCGCCCCCCCATCCCCCCATGCCAAACGACCCTGCTGCTGCTGCTGCCTGCAATTGCTGTGAAAGGCAGGTGGGTTGTAGTGGGGCAATGGAGAGTTGGTGTGGGCATCAGAATAAATGGAGGTGGCATGATAGAGGTGCTGGTGCCATGGCTTGAGTTAAACACAAGGAGCGTTGCCATGGAGCACTCAAATATGGAAGCGGAGGGCATGGGTGACAGACCTGTTGTTGCAGCAGCAGCAGCTGCATGTTGGGATCCAACGCCCCCGCCATGTTGAACCCTGCCAACGACCCCCCTTGCACCGCCACCAGCGCCTCACTGCTCCCCGCCCCACACACACCAGGCAGAACAAGGAACACACAAGACAGATGAGGCACAAACATGGCTTTAAGGGGAGATGCCAGCCAGCAGACCCACCAGGTGCCACACAGCAGCAACAAGAGACCCGCACTGCACGCATGACACCCATAGCGCAATGCTCATCCAGCAACACACAGCCACACAAGGCATTGCCATGAGCCCTGCAAACACCCTTCCCAGTCCAATCTCCTGGAGACGCACAAGAGCTCGATATAACAGTTGCCCATGAGCTGCTTGTGCTTTTTTACATGCCTCACACCCCAACCCCTCCCCAACTCAACCTCTTTCCCTCCAACCTCCCCCCCCCCCCCCCCCCCCCCCCCCCTCGCCTTTTAGAGACACGGAAGAGCTTGATGTATCAACTTCTCATGTGCTGCCGGTGGCGCTCCGTGGCCCTTCCAGCCTTCTTCACCAACGCAGCCATTTGAGGCTCTTCCCAACCTCTCCCCAACCAACCCAACCTCTTCACCCCTCAACCCACCTCTTGGAGACACGGAAGAGCTCAATATAACGATTCCCCATGTGCTGCCGGTGGCGCTCCATGGCCCGCCCTGCCTCCTCCGACGATGCAAACTCCACAAACGCCTCTCCTGTAGGCCGGTCGTTGTGCCCCGTCATAATGTGCACACCGTTCCCCACCACTTCATACCCCTCGAAAAACGCCAGAATGTCCTCCTGGCCTGCACTGAAGGGCAGCCCGCGCATCTTTATGCACACGTTCTCTGACGCCGCTGCTGCTGCCTGCGCTGCGCCCATTCCGCCCCCGGGACCTCCTGGTCCCCCCATGCCTCCGCCCCCCATCCCCCCTGCGCCCATTCCGCCTGCGCCCCCCATTCCGCCCGCGCCCATGTGCATGGCGGCGAGGTTGGCGGCGCCCAGGCTGGGCATTCCGAAGCCCATCATTCCCGGTACCTGTAAGCCGCCCCGCCAGCAGGGAGGAAAAGGGAATTGGCAGATGGGTGTGTGAGCGGAAATAACAGGTGCGGTAATGGGGATGGGCAGGGAGTGGCGTGTGGCAAGCAATGAGGGCGCGAGAGTGCGGAACTAGTGCCTGAGGGTAGATGTGGAGCGAGTGAAGCAGCAAGGGGGCATGTGCGCAAGGGGCAAGCAGGCAAAGGGACAAGGGGACGCACGGGGCCCATGAAGGTGGGGACGGGCGGGAACATGGAGTACATGCGCTGCTGCACCGCCGCCATCATCTCCCCCTTGGTGCTCCGAAACAGCTCCACGTACCGCTGGCGCGCGCAGAGGCAGGGGGAAGAGGGGTGGGGCGATGGGGAAAGAGGTGAGGGGTGAGCAGGAGAGGCGGAGGGGCAAAAGCAGGCGAGCAGATGAGAAAAGACAAAGGGCGAGGATTGGGCGTGGGGGAGAGGTACGAGGGAGGGATCAATACGACGCATGGCATGCGGGGAGCGCGAAGCACGACCGGAAAAGAGGCGCGAACGAGGGAGGAAGCACATGAGGGAAAAAGGAGGAAACTGAGCAGAAGGGGAGCGAGCGGGGAGGAGAGGGGGATGTGAGCGCACGTGGCCCATGGGTTCTCGGTGCAGCTGCAGCGCCCTCGCTGCCGTCTCCTCATTCGCAAACTCCACAAACGCCTGCCGCTCCGCCCACATATGACGCCCACGCACGGCAAGCATGCACGCCCAGCAGACGCGCACGCACGTGCACAACACGCAGGGCAGGCAAGCAAGAAAGGGGAGTGTGAGAGAAGCACAGACAGACGCGCTGCTACAACAGCTTAGCTGGCCGGATACGAACCGAAATGAACCGACACGAGTTTATATCAACTAAGATAAACCGACATGAACCGTTATAAACCCATGTGAGTGTAGATGCGAGAAAGGCGCTGGGAGTGTAGATGTGTGCAGGGCGCACCTCGCCGGTGGCGCGGCCGTCGGGGTGCGAGCAGAGGAAGATGCCGTCGTGCGCTATCTGCATGCCCTTGAAGAACGCCGCTATGTCCGCCGACGTCGCACTGCGCGCACGCACACACCGCGCACGCCGGGGCGAGCCCAGGGAGAGCGGGGAGCGCGGGGAGGGCGGGGAGCGCGGGGAGGGCGGGGAGGGAGGGGCGAGGAGATGGCGGAAAAGAGACTGAGGTGGCAGGAAGCTGCGAGTATTCGCGGGACACGAGGAGGAGAGAAAATGCAGCAGGGAGACGTGGGACACAGCTCGATGCGACGCACGTACGGCAAGGGGAAGGCAGAGCGCGCACCTATAGGGCATGCCGCGCATGCGGATGACGCCGCTGTAGCGCATGTCCGTGTTGCCCGCCATTCCTGGCACCCCAGCCCCCGCAGCACCACCCGCAAGCAGCCCAGATGTTGCCGCCGCCATATTGCCCGCCATGCCCATATTAGGCGCCCCCGCCCCCGGACCAGCAGCAGCAGCACCGCCCCTGCCCGCCATCCGCAAGGCCCCCTGCATTCCACGGCGCATGCATGCAACGCAATCCACACGAGGCCATGCCACCACGCCACCACTCCATTCCATTGCGCCATCCCGGCTAACCGCACAGCACCGCACTATCCGCTCGCGGGGACCGTGGAAATGATATGGTATAGGAGAGCAGCTAGTCTACACATGCACGCGCGCACGACGGAAAGCAGACATGAGAGATGGAAAACCGCGAGCACGCACCTCCATGTCTGCTGAGTGCCCCTTGAAAACCTCGATATAACGCGACCCGATGTGCTGCCTGGAAGCAACACGAATATAGGTGTGAGTCAGGGGCAGCAACACTCTGTGCAGATCTCAATGCGCAAAGCGCAAAGCGCGCCAATGGCATACGGGGGGGGGATGCTCCCACCTGTTACGCTCGAGGGCCTTGGTCGCATTCTCGGCGTCCGCGAAGCGAACGAAGGCCTGGCCAGTCGCTCGACCTGCCGTCCCATGGCAGAAGCGCATGGATGGGTGAATGCGAGAGGACGAGAGGAGGCGACGTGAGAGGCAAGCGATACTCGGTTGCACGGCACGGAGCAGCTCAAGGCAAACGAATATGACGAGTGAGGATAGGCGTACGCCATGCGGAGGGATGCGCAACGAGCGATGCCGTCACCCTAGGACTGAAGATTACGTCACCTTGGTAGTTAAGCTGCAGGACAATGCCGTCAGGCGCGATGTCGAGCCCGTCGAAGAAGGACTTAATGTCCGACTCCGTCGCACTGAACGGCAGCCCGCGCAGCCTCACCACGTGGCTCCTCGCTCTGCCATTCAATAACGCCCGGGAGAGCGAGTGCGGAATGAGACGCAGGGGGGAGACGGCGAATGAGGCAGCAGCGAAGCAAGCAGTGATTCCATCAGACAGCGAATCACTGCGATTCGTGCTAAGCAGGTGAGCGAGGATAAGGAGCGAAACTCCGTGTACTCACAGCTCATCGTCGAGAGAACCGTTTCCGGCGAGACCACCGCCTGACATGCTGGCTGAGCAAGACGGTATCTACGGACAGAGGAGATTAGCGCCGGATTTTACGGAATGATGAAATCTTAGATTCAAAGCGACAAAACAAAACCCTATTTTTGAAGAAGTGCAGATATTTTCACAAAGAACCAGAGCGTGGATCATGATGCACCACTGGGTTATTCGTTATAGACATGTCGTGCTGTACTGCCTTGAGTTTTGCAATCGATAATGATCATGATGCAGAAGAATTCCTTCAATCAAAACGTCTGACGCGGCGAGATCTCTCGTGTATCAGGTGGGCGGGATGCACCAGCGTGGCACCAATCACAACAATCGCGTAATCCACGGCACTGCCCGCATTCACCTTCCCGCCAATTCCTTCATTCCGCACTTCCCTGCAGCACCGTCCGCCACTTACAGCGAATCCGCTTCTCGCCTCCTCACCACTATCCACTCACCTCTCGCCACGCATCCCTGCACAGTCAGCACCTCCATTCCCTTTCAATGCCCAGCTGGACCCTGCCAATTCCCAAGGCAGCTCCAGCAGTCTGAATCTGAAGGCCCTGGAAGCCAAGACAATCCCGAGGCTGTGCTGCTTGCTGGTGCTGCTCATCCGTGATCCCTCTGGTGCTTCCACCAAAACATATTATTTGCTGGTCTGCAGAAATCGACCAGTCATTGTCATTTCTTTTTTTTCGTCACCGACGGATCTTAGGTTGCCATACTCCACTCACTCGCGCATACTCGTTGTCATGGCGTCCATTGCCACGTCAGCAGAGCGAGCTGTAGTTCTCCAGTCGCATCGCCTTCGATCCGCGGTTGCTGCTGAGTCCCTTGCCAGCAGCTCCTCGCATGCATTTTCCCCGCTAAAAGTAACCCCTCTGCGGTAAGTCCGGCCACCCAATAACCACCGTCGAAAGTAGTTGATCGCCTATAAATGCCATGATCACAACGCATTCCTCCCCCTCCCACGCATCCCTGTCGTGCTTGCCGTGCATGTCGTGAATGCAGCGCTGCTCGCACCGGATCGTCGTTTACGAGGTCCAATGTCGCCACCGTGCGCGCCTCCTCCGACTCAGGCACGTGACATGCTACCCCATGCAGCACCATTCAGCACCATTCAGCACCATTCAACACTATTCAACACTATTGAACACCATGCAACACACCACACATGGTGATACCTCTAGACTCTGGCAGTCCATGCCACATCACTCAGGCTGTCACCCATTCGTCGATTGCAGACGACGAACAACCTCATAGTTATATTATCGTGACGCCCATTGACTTCCTACAAGAATGCCGCTCGTCCTTATCCTTATGACCCGCTTACCCGACTGTTGAACCTTCATGAAAAATCGTCAATATTTCTCGCCGTTCACCCCTACCTGTGTGCGACGTCGCAGAGTATCGCACGGGCGTGAAGCGCAACCACAACATCGGCAAGCTACAGGCCGGCTACCTCTTCCCCGAGGTACACTTCTCGCCCCCCCCACCGCTCACCTCACTCCGCAACCACCAAGCTATTCCTTTTACCCAACGCTCGACACCGATCCCCCGCACTAGCCAGCTGACTCACAACCGCATTCCTCTTAAGTTCCTCCTCCCCACACCCGCGACGTCCCCCACCCGCGACGCCCCCCACCCGCCTGCTTTCCCCCCCCAGATCGCGCGGCGGCGGCGCGCGCACCTGGAAAAGCACCCCGACGCGAAGATCATCAGCCTGGGCATCGGCGACACCACGGAGCCCATCCCTGACGTCATCACCGCCGCCATGGCCAAGGTGAGTCCGTTGGATGGGTGGGGGCAGGGGGGGGATAGAGGGTGGTGGGTGGTTGATGGGAGTCAATGTGAATGGTGATGACGGATATCCATCCACAGTGGTGGAAAATACGCCGGCAACGCACGATGTATGCTGGAAAATTTCGTAACATGAAGTGCTTGGGTACGAGTACGTAAGTGAAGCACAGTCAGTTGGCGACAAGAACGAACTTAACAGCAAAGGTGAACAGGCAGAATGTTCTCAACCCCTCGCCGCTCGTCCACGCTGACGCTCTTCCCCTCGCCATCCCCTTCTCTCTTTCCCTCTCCCTCTCCCCCTCCCTCTTACTCTCCCGCTGTCCCGCGCAGAGGGCGCAAGGGCTGTCAACGCCAGCGGGTTACTCCGGCTATGGCGCCGAGCAGGGCGAGCAGGTGCGCTGACAGAGGGGATTGGGGGACCAGAACTGGGGAGAGAGGGGGATGGGTGGAGAAGGGCGAGCGGAAGACGGGATACTTGTATGGGGAGGGAGATGGGATATCAGTAGAGTGGGCTGTGCACCATCCCCAGATGCTCGCACCACAGAGCTTTCACTTTTATGCCGCGCCAACCCCTTCAACGCATGCTCACTCCACGCGTTCCTACCCCTTCCCCACAGGCTCTGCGCGCAGCCATCTGTGCGACGTGGTACAGCAAGCTGGGCATCACGGAGGACGAGGTGTTCGTGTCTGATGGCGCCAAGTGCGACATTGCACGCCTGCAGGTGCGCTTTTGAAGAATGCCCAAGAACTGCTTACGAGACCGAGCCTAGTTTGGGAAAGGCAGACTGCATATGGATGCTTCTGCATGCCCCCATGCTCTCTCGCTTGCCCCCATGCTCTCTCGCCCCCATGCCTCTCTCATGCCCCCATGCCCTCCTGATGTGTTCTCCTGTTTCTTGTATGGACGTGCTCCGCGAGGTCGTTTCCACTGTCTCACCGCCTCCTGAACCCCCCATCCTTTCCCCAATGCTAAACCAGATGATGTTTGGCGCTGACGTCACCATGGCCTGCCAAGACCCCTCCTATCCGGTATGACCCATGTTCACCCTCCCATCGTCGCCCCCCCATCCTAGTCCTCCCAACCTAGTACCCCCGTCCTCAATCCTTCCTCGTAGCTGAGCCGTTCAGTGCATCCCCATCCCCACTGGCCGTGCTGTTAGAGCTGTCTCCACTCCCGCCTTCCTTGTTCCCCCTCATGCACCCCTCCGACCCGTGAGTTGCTGCGTCCATGTGGCACGGCAGGGCACGGCATGGCAGATTTGTCACGACATAACCACGTCTGTGGCATGGCAAGCATACGTGGACACGAGTATGATGATGGGGCAGATGGGGCTATTTGGGCCAGAGACGCAGCAGTTCGATAGCATCTGGCCTACATGCTGCTCACCGCCACAATGACTTCTGTTTCCTTGACGTTTCCCCAACTCTCCGCTGTCTCCCATCAGGCATACGTGGACACGAGTGTGATGATGGGGCAGACGGGGCTGTACGTGCCAGAGACGCAGCAGTTTGGCAACGTCACCTACCTGCGCTGCACGCCTGAGAACGACTTCTTCCCGGACCTCGCCTCTGCGCCGCGCACCGACATCATCTTCTTCTGCTCGCCCAACAACCCCACCGGTGAGTTCAGCGAGCTCCCTCAATCATAAAGACCGCACCAACATCATTCTTCTTGACCTGGCCTCTGCGCCGCACACTGACATCATCTTCTTCTGCTTGCCCAACAACCCCACCGGTGAGCCACGGCCGGATTGCTTATACCTCATCCCGTCTTAACTATCAGCGCCCCATCAACACCCTCCCACCTTCCTCGCATCCCTCACATCCTTTCCCCGACTCTCCCCTACCGCCTCCCCTTTCCCTCCCTCCCTTGCACTGTGCAGGCCGGGCGGCATCACGGCAGCAGCTGCAGCAGCTGGTGGACTTCGCACGCACCAACGGGTCCATCATTGTTTACGACTGTGCATATGCCATCTACATTGAGGATGACTCGCCCAAGTCCATCTATGAGATTCCTGGCGCCGATGAGGTGGGTGCAAAATGTATGGCCTGGGAGTGTTGTTTGTTTACTGCTTCGCACGCACCAACGGGTCCATCATTGTTTACGACTGTGCATATGCCATCTACATTGAGGATGACTCGCCCAAGTCCATTTACGAGATCCGAGGCGTAGATGAGGTGGGTGGGTCCATAGGGGCATGGATGGCCTGAGAGTGCTGGTAGTGACTTTTGACCTGTGCTACGCCTCTTTGGTCCCCTTTTTCAACCCTTCCATATCGGCAATCCCAACCCCTCCCTCCATCCCCCATCCACAGGTGGCCATTGAAACAGGTTCTTTCTCCAAGTACGCTGGCTTCACAGGTGTGCGTCTTGGCTGGTTCGTGGTGCCAGCAGCGCTGCGCTATGCCTCTTGAGGCGCTTAATCTTCCCCTTCTTTATCTCCTTTTCCCTCTCCCCCTCTCCAGGTGGCCATTGAAACAGGCTCGTTCTCCAAGTATGCTGGCTTCACCGGGGTTCGTCTCGGCTGGTCCGTGGTCCCAGCAGCGCTGCGCTACACAGACGGCCATCCAGTGCGCGCGGACATTAACCCTCCCTCTCTTTTCCCTTCAACCCCCCCTCCTCTCCCCACAGGTGGCCATTGAAACGGGTTCTTTCTCCAAGTACGCTGGCTTCACCGGTGTGCGTCTCGGCTGGTCCGTCGTGCCAGCAGCGCTGCGCTACGCCGACGGCCATCCAGTGCGCGCGGATTTCAACCGCGTCACCTGCACGTGCTTCAACGGCGCCAGCAACGTCTCGCAGGCCGGAGGGCTCGCATGCCTCTCCCCCGAGGGCCTCGAGGCCATGGCATCGCTGGTATCCTTTTACAAGGAAAACGCAGCCATCCTCAAGTCCACCTTCCAGTCGCTGGGCTTTGAAACGCATGGCGGGGACAACGCGCCGTATGTGTGGGTGCGCTTCCCTGGCCGCTCCTCGTGGGATGTGTTTGCTGAGATTCTGGAGAAGGCTGATATTGTCACCACGCCTGGGAGCGGGTTCGGGCCCGGTGGGGAGGGGTTTGTGCGTGCCAGTGCGTTTGGGAACCGTGCGAACATTGAGGAAGCGGCGAGGCGGATCACGAAGCTGTACTCGTCATGAATGCGGAGGGGGGATTACAGGTGTGATGTAGGCTGGCTTGTGGCAGTGTGGAGGAGTAACGTGGGTAGGGAAACCCGTCGGATTGATGTTTGTTGAAGTCCCACCTTAGATGACTGGATGGCTGTGTAGCGCAGAGATTGAGAGCAATACCGTATTACCCCGGATATAAGCGCAGCTGCGCTTATAATAAAGCAGTGTTTTTTGGGGGGGTGCGCTTCTAATTTAGTCGTCTGCATAAGCTATATTACGGTAGGGAAAAACAAATGAATTTCACTTTTGAACATACCAAACTGGAAGGCGTAATAAGGCGAATCCAACCGACCATGCATCAAGTGGGATTGGGCATGGTTTTCAGGCAAAAACAGCTGCGGTTCGGTGTCCCACCGCACATTTTTTGCTAGAACCATCGAACGTGACAGCAGTGACGGGGAAGTTGCCGTGCGGCCCAATCACAGCCGCTGGTGCTGCATGGCATGTGAAATTATTCCGAACCCTCTCGAAGGGTGTGGAAGATTCCCTGCCAGCGCAGCGTTTATGCTGCCACGCAGGGTCCTCTACGGGGGTAGGCAGGGGTTTCCCGCCTGTCATTGACGAGGACCCCGAGCCGTCAACCCTACGGGGTCCCCATCGTTGCCCATTTGTGCACCCTCTTCCTGTTTTTCATTCAGTTTCCAGACTAGCCCGCCTGGCTGGCGAAGCCATGGCTGAATTCAGTGGGACGCACTTCCTCTTCAAGAAGAAACCAAATCGCCCGTGGCGACTTACGGTGGACGGGTGGTATACCCGTGAGCCACCAGCGCCTCCAGTGCCATCTGCACCCCCTGCACCGCCTGCTCCTCCTGCATCTCCTGCTCCTCCTCATCCTCCCGCTCCTCCGAATCCTCTGAGTCCTCTTGATCCTCATCCGACTACTTCTCATCAACGACCAGTGCTGAACCGGACACACCCAAGGTCCCCGATGTGTGCATCCAAGCTCCGCCGCCTGCACCATGGTGGGGAAATCCTGAACCCAGCACGTGGGACGAGTCGGCTGTGGGCGCCGACGATGACGTGGCCGCCGATAAACATAACGTTGGCGAAGGCGACGACGCCGGCGACGGTGTAGGCGAAATGGTTTGAGCACGACGACATGAACATTCTCACACCTGCAGGTCAGCGAAATGTCCACCCGTGACCCCTTCGTGTGCTTGTCTTGTTGCTCTTGGACTCACGTGTTCCCCACTCCCTTGTGTGTGGTGCAGGGAACATCAAGAAACCACCACCAGAGGTGGAGCTCAAGTGGATTTCACGGGCGTGGAAGGCTGTGCCGGCTGACCTGATTAAGAAAGCATTCCTCACCTGTGGCATCAGCAATGTTCTTGACGGGGCGAAGACTGTGAAGAAATGAGGAATGAATGCACTAGCAAGCAGGTGGGTACAAGTAGGAAAACCTAGAAGTGTTGTACCCTATATTGTCTACCCCACTACAGCCTACACAGACTATAGCATATAAGTTTGACACACCCCCATAGGCAAAGTGGGGGAGAACAAGAGGTCACAAGACCAGTCAAGCAAAGCAAAGCAAGCTGAGGGTGGATCACAACGTCACCACACAATCCGAGCACAAGTTCAAGGCCAAACAGGCAAACAGGCAAACAGGCAAGTAAACATGCAAACAGGCAAACAGGTAAACAGGCAAGTGCAGGTATAGAAAGATCACAGTACAAGCAAGGTCAAGAAGTGAGCAAGTGAGGCCAAGTAGGCACAAGACCTAGCATCGTACAGAAGCGCTGATGATCACCAGGCGGAAGTGCCTTGGTAAAGATATCAGCAGTGTTGGCCTCAGAGGCCACGTAAGCAAGGCGCAGCTGACCACGCTGCTGCAGCTCACGAGCAAGGAAGTAGCGAAGAGCAATGTGTTTCGTTATGTGCTCCAGTCTGTGCTCCCGACACAAGGCCAGCATGGCCTTGTTGTCTACGTACAGAACTGGAGGAGAACGAGGCGGCTCTCCTAGGTCAGTCAGCAGGTAGGTGAGCCAGCGTAGCTCCTGTGCAGCCATGGCCCCCGCGTAGATCTCAGCCTCACAACTGGAGCCGAGAATAGAAGACGAGCGGGTAGACCGCAACGAAACAGAGTCGGAGCCAAGGCTGAAGGTGTAACCTTGTGACGACCGCTGCGTAGCCTGGTCGTCAGCCCAAGAAGCGTCTGCGTGACCTGTGAGGACCACTGGACGTCGCCCTCCAAGCACTAGCCCCATGCCCGACGTACTGCACAAGTAGCGCAGCACCCTCTTCGCTGCAGCCATGTGCTCTGGTCGGTGTCTCCCAGGAGCAACATAGCGTGCCAAGATGCTAAGAGGGTATGCAAGGTCAGGTCGAGTGCAGGTCATCAGGTACATAAGGCAGCCAACAAGCTCTGGGTAAGGGCAAGGGCCTAGCGGGTGCAAAATTGCAAGAACAAGGGCCTAGCGTGTGCAAATTTGCAAGAACAAGGGCATAGCGTGTGCAAAATTGCAAGAACAAGGGCCTAGTGTGTGCAAAATTGAAAGAACAAGGGCCTAGCGTGTGCAAAATAGCAAGAACGAGGGCCTAGAGAGTGCAAAAATGCAAGAACAAGGGCCTAGCGTGTGCAATATTGCAACAAGGGCCTAGCGTGTGAACAATTGCAAGAACAAGGGCCTAGCGTGTGCAAAATTGCAAGAACAAGGGCCTAGCGTGTGCAAAATTGCAAGAACAAGGGCCTAGCGAGTGCACAACTGGAAGAACAAGTGCCTAGCGAGTGCAAAACGGCAAGAACCAGGGCCTAGCGTGTGCAAAATTGCAAGAACAAGGTCCTAGCGTGTGCAAAATTGCAAGAACGAGGGCCTAGCGTGTGCAAAATTGCAAGAACAAGAGCCTAGCGTGTGCAAAACTGCAAGAAAGAGGGCCTAGCGTGTGCAAAACTGCAAGAACAAGGGCCTAGCATGTGCAAAACTTCAAGAACAAGGGCATAGCATGTGCAAACCTGCAAGAACAAGGGCCTAGCGTGTGCAAAATTGCAAGAAGAGGGCTTAGCTTGTGCAAATTGCAAGAACAAAGGCCTAGCGAGTGCAAAATTGCAAGAACAAGGGCCTAGCGTGTGCAAAATTGCAAGAACAAGGGCCTAGCGTGTGCAAAATTGCAAGAACAAGGGCCTAGCGTGTACAAATTGGCAAGAACAAGGGCCTACCGTGTGCAAAACTGCAGGAACAAGGGCCTACCGTGTGCAAAACTGCAAGAACAAAGGCCTAGCGAGTGCAAAACTGCAAGAACAAGGGCCTAACAAGTGCAAAATTGCAAGAACAAGGGCCTAGCGTGTGCAAAACTACTAGAAGAAGGGCCTAGCATGTGCAAATTTGCAAGAACAAGGGCCTACCGTGTGCAAAACTGCAAGAACAATGGCCTAGCGTGTAAAAATTGCAAGAACGAAGGCCTAGTGTGTGAAAACTTGCAGGAACAAAGCCTAGCGTGTGAATAATTGCAAGAACAAGGGCCTAGCGTGTGCAATATTGCAAGGAATAGGGCCTTGCGTGTGTAATATTTCAAGAACAAGGGCCTAGCGTGTGCAAAATTGCAAGAACAAGGGCCTAGCGTGTGCAAAACATCAAGAACAATGGCCTAGCATGTGCAAAACTGCAAGAACAAGGGCCTTGCGTGTGCAAATTTGCAAGAACAAGGGCCTAGCGTGTGAAAATTGCAAGAACAAGGGCCTGGCGTGTGAAAAATTGCAAGAACAAGGACCTAGCTTGTGAAAAATTGCAAGAACAAGGGCCTAGCGTGTGCAAAATTGCAAGAACAAGGGCCTTGCGTGTGCAAATTTGCAAGAACAAGGTCCTAGCGTGTGCAAATTTGCAAGAACAAGGACATAACGTGTGCAAAATTGAAAGAACAAGGGCCTAGCGTGTGCAAAATAGCAAGAACAAGAGCCTAGCGAGTGCAAAAATGCAAGAACAAGGGCCTAGCGTGTGCAATATTGCAAGAACAAGGGCCTAGCATGTGCAATATTGCAACAAGGGCCTAGCGTAAGAATAATTGCAAGAACAAGGGCCTAGCGTGTGCAAAATTGCAAGAACAAGGGCCTAGCGTGTGCAAAATTGCTAGAACAAGGGCCTAGCGTGTACAAATTTGCAAGAACAAGGGCCTACTGTGTACAAAACTGCAAGAACAAGGGCCTACCGTGTGCAAAATTGCAAGAAGAGGGCTTAGCTTGTGCAAATTGCAAGAACAAAGGCCTAGCGAGTGCAAAATTGCAAGAACAAGGGCCCAGCGTGTGCAAAATTGCAAGAACAAGGGCCTAGTGTGTGCAAAATTGCAAGAACAAGGGCCTAGCGTGTACAAATTGGTAAGAACAAGGGCCTACCGTGTGCAAAACTGCAAGAACAAGGGCCTACCGTGTGCAAAACTGCAAGAAGAAGGGCCTAGCGAGTGCAAAACTGCAAGAACAAGGGCCTAACAAGTGCAAAATTGCAAGAACAAGGGCCTAGCGTGTGCAAATTTGGAAGAACAAGGGCCTAGCGTGTGCAAAATTGCAAGAACAAGGGCCTAGCGTGTGCAAAACTACTAGAAGAAGGGCCTAGCGTGTGCAAATTTGCAAGAACAAGGGCCTACCATGTGCAAAACTGCAAGAACAATGGCCTAGCGTGTGAAAATTGCAAGAACAAAGGCCTAGTGTGTGAAAAATTGCAGGAACAAGGGCCTAGCGTGTTAATAATTGCAAGAACAAGGGCCTAGCGTGTGGAATATTGCAAGGAATAGGGCCTTCCGTGTGCAATATTTCAAGAACAAGGGCCTAGCGTGTGCAAAATTGCAAGAACAAGGGCCTAGCGTGTGCAAAACATCAAGAACAATGGCCTAGCATGTGCAAAACTGCAAGAACAAGGGCCTTGCGTGTGCAAAACTGCAAGAACAAGGTCCTAGCGTGTGAAAATTGCAAGAACAAGGGCCTAGCGTGTGAAAAATTGCAAGAACAAGGACCTAGCTTGTGAAAAATTGCAAGAACAAGG